TATTAGGTACTTTAACTATATTCTGATATTGTTCAAAGATTGCTAATTAATTGTTTATAGTTCAATTAGCAAAGAAAGTGTTGCGTAGTATTAGTTTATCATTACACAGAATGTTCTTTGGATAAAATTTTAAAATTAATTGGTACTTATATTTTACAATGTTATTATATTTTGAATTTTATTCTTTCCCTGTTCTGACTAAAATCGTTCGTTTATAGAGCCTTCTTTCCTGTTGAGGTTCAGTAAAGGTTTGATAAAAAAAATCAGCGAAATGTATATTTTAAAAGCAAAAACACAGTTTTAAAAATTATTAATACTAAAAGAATATATATATAAAAATACGTTTATCATTATAATTAACTAGCTGTTACGAAAGGATGATATAAACATCGAAGAATAGTTTTTCATAGTGTTAAAACGACGAATCTATCTTTTGTGTTGATGGTAATCAAAGAAATAATTTGGAAAAATTAGCTAGCAATCTAACTTACATTAATAAATTTTCACGTTCTGAATAAATTTTAATGAAGTAGTGTAAAACGCTCATTATGACAGAATGGTAGTACCAGCTGCAGGGGCGTTTCCCGATACCATATCTAATTTATTTAACGTATTAGAACTGAAAGAGGCATTCTGTCGCTGTACTGGAAAGGGTAAGTGTGAATTCGCTACAATATTTTTATTAATATTAGATACTAGGTTACATTATCATTATATTATATAGCGAACAAAACTAAAATAGCAATTAAATAAGTCCTTTTTTAATAGTGTTAACTAGAAATTAAACAAATTGTTTTTGAAATTAAACTATTTCGGTCACTGGTATCACATTTTTTTTTAAATAGAATTAAATGTTTACTGTCGATTTAAATTCTTCATTAATTGACATACATATTTAGGTGTCCATATCCAATACTTCAAATTGTGTATTTATTTATTAAAACATTTTTTTAACAATTACTCATTTGGAAAATTATTGTTTATGTTTAAAAATAAATTAACATTGTTGATGTATGCACAGGATCTAATTAAGCGCTAAGTGGACAAAGCGATCCTTTTGGCTCTATTTTAAATTATTTTAACTTGGATATTTTCGAAAATTAGCGGAAAGATTAAAAAATACTTTATAACCCATAACCCACAACTCTTCATGAGTTTTTAGCGGTCCAGGTTATAAAATAATCAAACAGACCTAAAAACTAAATGTTAAGTTAACATTAAAGCTTTTTTTTGCGGGGAAGTGAGCCCTGAAATATTTACCTCTCTCGATCCGCCAATGTGTGTGTAATAGCTGATCGTATCTATGTGTAATACATCGAATCTTAAAATAAGCAAACTGATAATTAATTACTTGTTTTGTTTGAATATTATTTCATTAGAATTTTAAATGAAACTGTTTATAATTTTGCACTATTGATTGTTGATTTTTTTTTTCTCGACTCCATTAACGAGAAGTAAGTATTTACCATGTATCCATGTATCTATAATCACTCAGAACCTTCAATAAAATAAAAAAAGCTGCATTTCTTTATGCATGTTAATATTTGAATGGACGTATAGCGGCAGAAATAAGTGATAGCAAAAGGAATAACTTTTACAAGTCCCGACAATACCAATATGGAAGTACATTCCACATCAATGGATGGAATGTACTTCCACATCTATTAAAAACAGGAGTGGGTTTTTATGAAGTTTGGCCTTAAAGTCCAATGGCAAACTGCTCGTGGTCAATCGGCAAAAGGAATTTCTTTAAATGGACTTTTTACTCCACAAATATTGCCTAATGCTTATTTAACTATATACCCATAATGTTTTTTGCCGAATACAATGTCCTAGATTCATAATCCACTGGTCTTTCATTTGCATCTGTCATTTGTGTAGGACATCTCCCGACCTCATTTCAGAATCATCATTCCGCAGGATCACCTGCTTATTGATATCATTTAATTCAGCTGCAGTTGAAAGTAAATTGTGTATTTTTCTAAATTAATTTATTCACGTTCCGTACAATTCCACTTAATCATTGTTCCTTTTCAGCAATTGAGCATTTTAATGAGATAAGAACTTATGAAAATTACCATACCCAGGATGCCTTTAGTTCCTTAAAAATCCGCTATACGAACACTCTTGAAAATAGATACATTAAATTGAAGGGGACGAAATCTGTTCTTAACAACTCGTTGTTGCATATAATTGACTGATTGCTTTTGGAACTGGCATTTTTCTAGTTTAATTCAAACATCTGCTTGTAGCCGTTTGAAAACTGTTTTCAGTCGCTAAAAACATAGATCCCTGATTACATGACCATGATGTCATGTAACAGGACCGAAACATAAGGAAGATTTAACAGAATCTTCATAAATGTTTGAAAATTTGTATGAACTGAAAATTCCTCGTATACTATTCTGCCCTTCCTCGTCTTTTAGGTTATATCGAGTTTTTCTCGGTACAGGGGAGAAGGTGGAGAATTATGCCAGGGTTAAAAGTTCCCTCACCACCCAGATTTAATTGGTAAACTTCGATTTATCACTGATTGCTCTGGACAATGCATGTTTGTAAACGCTTTAACCCGCATAGCAATCCCGCCCACAACCTAAACATAACCGCCGATAGATAAATAAACTCAATAGTGTGAGGATTGTCAAATAATCTTATTTTATTTCTCTATCTACATCTGAAGATAAACATCTCTAATGTATAATTATATATAACCATGGGCGGATCTACGGGGGGGGGGGGGGAGCTTTCGGGCTGAAGCCCCCCCAAAATGGCAAAATATAACCATGTTTTATGGAAAAAAATATTAAAAAATTATCTCTTAAAGAATTATTGTTCGTGTAATTACATATAAAAGGACTTAAGGAAACACTTAAACACCATTTCATATAGATAGTTAGTTTATTTCTTTTTTTCCAAAGTAATTATCGTCATTTTTATGAAAAAAAAAAAGCTTTCGGACTGAAGCTCCCCCCAAAATCAAGTCCTGGATCCGCTAGTGTATATAACCAACATAAAATGAATAATTATTGTACAACCGAGTATCAAAATACCATTGTTGGAGTCTTTGAAAAGAAATTGTCATAAGTTGGTAAAAAGTAGTGCTCGTCCAAAAGGATAGAGTTCAAAGCAACTTTGAAATCTCCGCAGATCCTAATAACCTCACTACCTTTATCATTGACCTTCGGCATTGCCTATCTATTACCTTATACCAGTCTAGTCCGTAGACTCTACTCATTCCCTAACCAATATAGCTCTGCAACCTCCACTGTTCTTCTACACTCATATACCTGTACCAGCTTATCGTCTAGGGCTGCAACCTTATACTGCTAGTCAAAAAATTATTGGAACAGTTTAATAAACTTAATTTTATTTGCTAATGTAATAAAATATTGCTTTTTTAAGCCTTTACTAACATCTCCCCAACTAATATCTGTTGAAATCCAATCGGTATATTAGGAAAGGATCTTGTAAACAAAAAATTGATATATATAATAAAAGTAAATAAATTAAAGCTGTTGATTAATCTTTTAAAGTAAAATTTGAATTTTAGATCTAAGTGAAAACGGAGTTTCACTGAAATTTCACAAATGTTGAAAACACGAGAAGATTGTATCATTTAAACCTCAATTTATACTGGACGGCTATAGTAGCTTACAATCACAGAGGATCAATAATTCATTTTGTAGAATAATACTATTTCTCAAAACTCGTTAGATTCTAAATTTATTTATTTAAATTTTTTGATTAATAATTTTTGGCAAATTTTAGGCATTTTTTTTTAGGTTTTTCGTATTTACTTATTCAAATCTACCTTTTTTATTTACTTACTTAAGCTTACGTATTTACTTATTTAAACCCTACCTTTCCTTTCATAAAATATGAGAGTTAACATCATTGGATTGTCATACATAACTGCCTATACCATCTTCGTCAAAAATACGCAATGAATGGGATGTTTACCTCATTTTTCTCAGCGATAGGAATACTGAAAAATAATGTTTTTTTTTACTGGTGTCTATAATAAATATATATATTTATTTGGTAGAAAATACATGGATTTCAGTAATTCACATTTCCTTATATAAAATTTCTATACAATTCGATTTACCATAATTTGATGCTACCATTACTATAAAAGAAAAAAAAAATAGTTTTTGTGAAGCAAAATTAAAGGAAAATAGTTACCAATACTTGACAATTTTAGTTACTGTGTGTAAAGAATTGGTATAACCAAAGTACTTTTTAATTTAACACTTACAATTTTTCAATTGGACTTAGTTAAGTTTCTCCTATCTGAAAAATTAGAGTAATATTCCTATAGTTATAGTCTCATTAGTAACTGCAAGACTGAGTGCGCAAGACCAAGACTCGTCTTTGTATTTGGGCAACTCTAATTGCTGCCTCATTAATATTTTAAATATATACAAACAGAAGTTCAATGCCCTCATACAAACACATACATACATACATATGTAAGTATATACACATATACATACACATACAAACATACATACACATGCAAACACATCTGCAAATCAAACTAATTCCTACACCATAATCATTTCATTGTTTCCTCTTGGTTGCTCTGTTCAAATCAAAGTAGCAGCGGCGGCTATCATTGTCATTAATTTCTCGAAAGGAACAGATCTGGATTAATTGATTACATTTAACAAGCGAACCGCAGGCAATATAAAATGTCTATACTTTGTGTGTTACTGCAATTGCTTTGTGTCGCATGCTGCAAAGGGACGAGGATGTCAACCAATGGCCGCACGTAGTTTGCGCCTCGGATGCTCTTGATTGCTCTATTATAAAGCCGCCTATACTTGTAATCTGCCAATCCTAGTAACAAGTCCAAAGTCCAGTTAGCACAGCCCTGTTATTAAAAAGAACAGATCAAGTATTTATTATTACCTATTAACTATCAAGTATTACTGTTACCTTATAGACACATTATAATTGTTCAAATTTGTTTACTGCTATGATCTTTGCTATACAGTATGGCGCCAATGCACTTGGCATTGAAGCAGCTGTTGTTGCTGTTGCTCTTCAAATGTTCGCTTTGTAAGAAATCTTCTATTTACAGTCCTTACAACAGCCAGTGAGTATCGATATTTTAAAATATTTATTAATGCACGATCGTTAATTTTGCACAACAAGGTTCAGATTAATTAATCCTTAAACCTTTTCTAACTTTCAGAGCACGACTTTACAGTGAAGATGGCCATTTGTACATTGTTGGAGGAGTCCACAGTAATATCACACTTAAGACTTCAGGAAATGGTTTTATTAATATAAACGATCATGACTTACTCCATGTCACTGAATTGGTAAGAGCGTTTTATTGTTATGTAGCGTTTTTGCGGTGGTACCAAAGTTAAATTTAATTCATTATTAGAAAATGAATAATTCTATGATTGTCTGTTGTGACTGAACTTGAAAGAGATTGCGATATGATCATTATATATATTGATATATATTTGAGCACGATCTCGGCTCAATCACCTTCCTGTACAATCGATGGTCTTCTAACAGTACTTCCTCACATTGTACTGAACCCAAGACCCTTCCTTAATTGTTAGTGTTACAGGTTTTAATGTTGCCCAAAATCGGTCTTGGTCTTGCACAATGCAAGACCAAGACCAAGGCCTCCTAACTGTTGCAAGATCAAGAACCGGAATGCTAAAAAAAATAATTTTTTAAATAAAAATTAAGGCAAAATAGTTATTAATATTTGACAATTTTAGTTACTATATGTTAATAATTGGTATAACCAATATACTTTTGCATTTAACTCCTCTAATTTTTCATTCGGGCTTAGTTAGGTTGCTCCTATCTAAAAAATTAGAGTAATATCTCTATAGTAATAAGCTAATAAGTAACAGCAAGGCTTTTGCGTAAGACCAAGACCAATTACCAAGAATGAGTTTGTAAGACAAGACTCGTCCCGGTCTTGCATTTGGGCAACACTAACAGGTTTATATATATAATCGTGTACAGATTTTAAATTTGATAAATTATGGTCCCTAATCAATTAATTATGCGTAGCTCTTTTAACCATCTATATCTCAAGCATGAAAAGTAATTTATCAAGTATTTATGATTTTTACATTGTGAATTTATCGATAAAAAAAAAGAAGGAAAACACTTCTGAGATTTTTTGTTAAAAAAATACTAAAAAAGATAAATATCACCTACAATAATAATATTTTATGAACAGAACTAGGCGAAAATCATTTCAAATACAAAGAACAATATGAATTATTTAGAGTATTGTAATTTGAACTACCTAACCACTTAAACAAAACTGATTAAAACATTTTTAAAAATAAAATAATTATTAATACAATTATTAATAATAATGCTTTATTGAAAATACAGTAGAGGTTTTAAAATTGAAAAATACATAACATTCTACCTACGGTATGGAAATCAGTATGCCGGGAAACTTTGTTTACAACATATTACTGGTACTACATTAGATAATTAACGATAATATAAAAATAAATACATGATATAAAGTTATAGTAACAATTATTGTGATCGTGAAAATTTTCGAATCTGAGCTTTCAACGGAAATACATGTTTTGAGGTCTCCTGAGTCCAAATAACCAAGTCCCGCAAAATGGTGTGTGTGTACGTGTGTGTGCGTGAGTGTGTCTGTACGAATGTGACAGGTCCAGCTCCAAAACGAAAAGTCGTATGAAAGTGAAATTGCATATTTAAGGTTTTTATATAGCTGAGATGTTACAGCAGCTTTTTCGTCAAAATTGGCTAACCGGAAGTGACACTTTACATCATCGATGAAACTCATGTTTACTATTTTCTCGAAAACGGATCCAACGATTTGGTTAAATTCATTATATCAGTGTTAGACTAGGCAGTTTTTAATAATATTTAGGTTTTATTCTCATTGATGTTCTCTAACAGGGCTTAAATAGCTAATTTTCAATATTAGCTTCCCCTAAAGTACCTTTAATTTTTTTATTTGAAAAAATGACCATTTCACTTTAATCTCTAATATAAAAGATAGTTAAATATAAAATATGAAAAAAATTGATAATTAACTAAAGGAGAAATAGATAATCATAACAGAGAATAGTAGTAATGAAGGACCGAAGGGATACAAGCGCGGCCAAGCTCATCCGAGCTGGTCCGAATATTAGAACTAGCTTCCATACGTAACATGAGCTTAATATAATACGGACTCGGACAATATTACGTACATATACATATACATTTTTCCTAAATGTTTTTGTTAGTATTATTTAATATTTAATAGTACAGATAACAGCAATATAAATATTAAAATCTTATATATGAGGGTACTTAAACAAATAAAAATATTCACAATGAAATATAAATCAATATAGCGTTTATAATTTTTATTTTCACTTTCCCTTGGTCTGAAAATACTTATTTCTGCAAAGAGGAGGGTGGTAAGTGGAAGTTGTGTGATGCTCGCACTGCACCAGATTTTTACTTTCACTTACCTATGTATGAAATATATAGTTAAGGAAAGTATTGCGATCGTGAAAATTTTCGAATCTCAGTTTTCAACGGAAATACACGTTTTGAGGTCCCCTGAGTCCAAATAACTTTGTAGACTTTCGATCATGTTATAGTGTCTTTAGTAGATTTGAACTCCAGGAAAAGGAATGGATAATTTTGGATACAATAACAGAAAAAAAAATTAAAATTTTCAGATTACAGTTGACAAATTTGGAGAAAATTTAAATAAGTTTACACGACTTGTCTGGCAACACTGCTGAAGTCGAATTGTGTTGAAAATTTGCCAATCGGATTAGTCAGGATTTTTTTTTTAATTTCATTTTCTCATAGCTTAAAGTATTCTCTATTTTTAATTTTTGATATTATTTTGTCGCTTTCTATAGAATGGAAATTCGTTTTGGTTTATAAAGTGTGTTCCGATTTTCCAATTTGTGGGAACCTCCTCGGATGATTGTTCTATTTTAATTGTGTTTTTTTGTACATGGTGCGATTAATTAAGTCTTAATGCGATTAATTATAAATGAATATGTTTTATATTTATTTTTCAGGCAGCTAAGTCTGCAGCTTTTGTACATAACTTTAAGCAGAATGTTTTACCAGACATTCAGTCTTCACAATCTGGATCATTGGATTCTGGCCTTATTTTGAGGCTAAGAAGGCTTGAGGCAGCAGTAGCAGGAACTAATGCGACAATTGTATGTATGATTAAACTTAAAATTGTGTTTGAATATTCTCAGAGATATTTATTTTCATTATTTATTTTTTCAAAAATATAGTAAGTTTACAGCCTACAATTGAATTAATGTTTCAATTTTGTGTAAGGAAAATATAGTCTGTATAAGAAAAACAATGGATTTTACTTACTTTTTATTAAAATTTTATTTTGGTACTACTTCACAAGTGTCACTTTAACAACCTGTCTGGGCCAAGATTACATCTCTACACTGTTGATATAACTCCTAAAATGTCTGAGTATATTTGATATTTCACACTAGATGATAGTCGTAAACAGTGATGTAATCAAAGATGTGCTACTGTGAAAACATTATAGCTTAGCTATTTTGGAATCCCATATATCCTGCTGAAATTGATTTTGGTCCATTGGATAAAGTGGAGTGACATATGCACAGTGTACAGAGCGAAGTTACACCAATGGACATGGTTGTTAAACATTTGCCTCCTTCTGATTTCCAACCAAAATGTGATCAATGAGATCTTGACCTAGCCGCCATTGAGTGTTAATGGATGATTAGGTTTTACCAAATTTTTTATGTTTTACCATAAGGAATGATATTATTTTACTTATCTGCTATTACTATTTTACTTATCCTTTACTATACTTATCTAGTGATTTTTATTTTGGTCATGACAACTAATGTGAAGAGGGATAGATCACGTGTAAGGTAATGTGCTCCAATTTCTCATACCCACGTTAAATTCTGGCTACGGGAGATATTTAGTGTTATGTCAGCTAAAGATTGATCGAACATTAGGTGACCCATCTTGGGACACATCCACCTTTTTACCTTTTTAGAGGCTGAGCTCTAATAGGGAGTGTGATCCTGGTGAAATCATCTTGCTCCACAACCGTTGGCCTAGAAGCAATACTTCCTGATAAAATACTGAACGCTAGACCCTTCATGGGTACTTTATTTTATTTTTTTTAATATCATTGACAACTGTTCAGAAAATGTCATCTAGAATAATGCTTATTTAATAAATATTTATATTATGGAACATAGGAAGCATAACATAAATGTAATGAGATTATCATGGAACATCAGCCACAGTACAAAAACTAAAAATGTCCAGTCGATAAAATATTATGTATTTTATTTTATAATAATTTTATATGTTTGTTTTTTTAGTCTCAGGGTGGAAATGCTGCAGATTCTAGAAACTTAAGAATTCTAACGAGAAGAGTGAGTATTTTTCTTTTTAATAATATTTTATTTAAATATTATACTGTTTTTGCAAACAAATAAATTTCATTATAAATGAATAAGTACAAACAATGTAAATTGAGTATAGAGAATGACCATGAAATTATTAGTTATGCCTTGTATAAGCCTTACTCCTTTCGTCCTTTATCCTTTCAAATGGTTCTTTTTGTTTGCTTATGCTATAATTAGATAGTGTTAGGGTCATTTGTATAATTGGAGTTCAAGTTAAGTTTAAGCTTGAACTACAGTCAACCATAAAAATATGAATGACCGTCTGTAGTTCAAGCTTGAACTTGACTAGAACTAAATTGTAGGCCTTTAGTAACACTAGAAGAATCTTCCAGCTAGGCCCTTCCACAAAGTAATCCAATTATACAACAGTAAAAGCTCAAAGGCTGAAACATTGTCATTAGAACTAAAATTGTGGTATTAATATTGTGTTTTATGTTCTTATTGGGATTCATGGGGTAGACTACTTTATTACATTTAAAGCATTAACATTATGTACATCACATACAACCTCCATGCTTGCCCAAGCTACACTATCTTGGCATCCTCTTGCCTCAAACAGTGTTGCCTTAATCCACTTTCCAAACACATATAATAATAATGAATAGTCCACAACATTGTGAACGAAAATTTTCTTAGTGAAAGAAATAACCAAAATTATTTTAAACACCTAAATAACAATTTCACCTTAAACTTAACAAAATTGTTTATTTATATGTTTTAGTAGAGGTGGAGGAAGTTATGATATGTAGAAAGTTTTACTGATGTCTTCTTTTTGCTTGTCAACAATTAGATATAGCCACTAATAACACACTTGCATAGATCTGGAATATTATAAAATTAATAACCATGAGGCATAGCCACTAATGACAAACTTGAGCAGATATGAATTGTTATAATGTAAATAATAATGAGGCTTGTCATTTCTTAAAGGGTCTATATTTGTCTATCTACAGCTATAGCTAACAAATATTTTTTCCTCTTTTTAACTGTTTGGTATACCTTTAACTTATGGTTTTACATGCTAGTTGAGGTAATGAATCCTTGATTTGGCTAATTTCTGCATCTTATCAGTTACTGTAGACTGGTATCATCTAAATCATACTTTCAAATTAATGATTATTTCCTTGACTTATCAAAATCAATAAATGGTACTTGTGTGTTATGCGGGCGGGATTTACTGCTATCTGCCAATGTTTATAACCTGAACACTGATAATTCTGATAAGACACTCATGACCCCTATCTTCTTATTAATATTCATAGAAATTGATATAGGAAAAAACAAATGTCATACTTATGGAAAATATTTATCTTGTATTCAAAGCCAAAGCAAATCATTTAGATTGACCAAGCTCAGGGTCCTGACATCTATAGATTTTATATAATAAATTTAAAGGGATTAGGATTATAGTTGAGTAAGTCAGTTTGATGTTTGTTAATCTGTGTGTGTTATTCATGTATAATTGAAGTACATACTGTGTCTTTAAATTATTTATGTATAATATACATAAATTTTGCATATTTAATATATATATATATATATATATATATATATATATATATATATATATATATATATATATATATATACATACATATAAATAAAATTTTAAACTTTAATTTACATCATTAAAGTATTTTTAAAAAGATTTGCTTTCTTAACTAATTTGACGCTCCATACATACTTAACTAAACTGACATACTCCAGTATAACCACTTAATTTATTACCCAGTCTATCATTGTAGTCGTATTAATTTATCATGGTAGAATTTTATGAGATAAACCTAAGGAGATTTTAATTTTTAACAACCTATAAAACTTTAATTATAAAACCCTACAATTTTGTTTTGGTCTTTGAGGGTATTACAGGTCTGGTTACTTCCTTATATGTGTTAGCTCTGGTCTACCCAATCCAATCAAAGCAGCTGTATAAATTATATGCATACATTTTTACATGCAATAAATTGCATGTATATTTATTTATAAAACACAAGCTTAATATTTTGTCTTGTTTTAAATATTTTTTTTTATTTTTCTTATTATTTTACACTAAGCTATCTTTATTATTAGGTGAACTTGATAGCCAGAGCTGTGCGTGTCCTTCGACTCCTTTTACTTAGGGATGAATGTGACAGTGGGCCTTGCCAAAATGGAGGTACTTGTTTGGATTTATTCAATGGCTTTCACTGTCGCTGCACATCTCAGTGGGAGGTAAATGTTTTCATTATTCATCCTTTTTCTACCAATAATGCTTATAGATCTATCTAAAAAACTAAGAATGTCAACTTGAACTAATTTTTATTAATACTCAATTCAAATGCTTTATGTATATGCATATATACATGTAAGTATGACTAAATATTTTTTTTTTATGGAGGATGGGAGTCATATTATCACATTCCATTACTTACTTCTCCTTTCGTATAATAATTCCTATCAAAACTATCATTTGTCAGAGTGCTACTTGTCATATCCTCTTTGACATCTGCTAATCACAGTTTCTGTGATCTTCCTTTCTTCTCTATACCATATTTAAGCATTCTCAAGTGCCAATGGGTATAATTCATTCTCATGTCATGTCCACATCATATCAATCTTTTTTATGGAAATGTCAACCTGGATATACCATCAATTCCAAAAATCAATCTTTAGGCCCGATAATCTTTTTGCATATGCCATTGTAACTGTCCCTGACGCTGTCCCATATAAAATTGTTCTGAGGCATATCTTTTTTGTTAGTTATGAGAGGCATTTTGTTTTGTATATAATACAGCATTGAAGAGGCCTATGATATTTTATCTGTTAATGATTTTATTTTTTATATCCCTTTGCACTAAATAAAATTAATCTATCATCACCCCAAGATACTTGACAGCAGTGATCAATAGTATTGTCTAGCTCTTCCATGCCGACAGTTTTGTTTTATTATTTTACCTCCTATGACACCATTTTACCATCAAAATTATTCTAACCTGATTGGGAAGGTTGATATTTTACTCTGTGGATCCGACTTGAAATAAATTTCAACTCACTTCAAACATAAAGCAGGCAGTGCTTTAACAAGATTTCCCATCACATCCTCTCCATGTAGAGAGCTGAAACAAATGAGTTAAATGGTATGTACTCTATTTTTTCATTGCTTATCTCTAGATCCCTCTGTGAATATAGCTCAAGGAGTTTCTCATCATAAATTGCATGCCATACTCATCTGATGACATGACCTGGTCTTCGCGAAGGGTGAATAGGAAATTATCAGCATCCTTAAAGCCCATCCCTTGCCACCTCTGATACCGTGATTTGTTTGTGTTTATTGTTGTTACCATGATACTGAAAAGTGTTAGGAAAAGGAATATCCTGCTTCAAGCTCTTTGAAGTAATTAAAAATATGTTTAATAGTTCATCTTTTTAAGTATCTTTGGTTTGCATGAATATATTGTATTTATATGATATAATTAAATTTTTTAGGGGGACTTGTGTGAACGTGACGTAGATGAATGCACTAAATTGGCTGGCACAGGTCTAGGCTGCCAAAATGGAGGTACTTGTAGAAATCTTGCTGGCTCCTATGCTTGTACCTGCCCTATTGGTTGGTATGGTCTGCATTGTACTCAACGCACCTATGATTGCTCCCTACAGAGTTCTGCTGAACTGTGTGGACATGGCATTTGTGTTAATCAGGGAGGTACTGGCAGAGGATTTGTATGCATTTGTAATCAGGTATACAGTTTAATTTCTGATTTTTAGACTTGAATTTATCGTGATATCTTATTTGTATTTAAAATTTAGTTTGAAAAAGGAATATCAAAATATTTTATTTATTGAACCACCATGAGTATTTTGGTTGGTCTTGTTTGTTTATAATAGCCATTATTTTGGATTTTTAAAACAAGATTAACGATTCTCTTTACAAAGTAGTGTTTTAATTGAAATTTCACATTGTACTCAGTATCATGCATTAACATCATTATTAGAAAGATACTTAATTGCACTAAGAGACAGAATTTTGATTTTAATCGTTATGTTTAACATTTTCAAGTTAAAAAGTTTCTTAGGCTGTTTCTACATCTTCATGGGGAACAGGAGGATTGAATTCTTACATTACAGCTATAATTCATGTTATAAATCTATGATATTTGTGTTTAATAATCGAAATTCTTTTCAATGATTTAATTTTTTAATTTACATTTACATTTTTTATGATGAAAATAAAATTAAAGTTGCTCTGTAATTACTTAATTGTGTTCTTAAAGGGTTGGACAAAAAGTGATGCTGATGGCGCGTGTACTGTAGACGTGAATGAGTGTCTTGGATCTCATAAACCATGTTCACATGATCCTCCTGTCGCTTGTGTCAACACTCCTGGATCCTTCCAATGTTTACCTTGTCCAACAGGTTTTGTATTGTTTTTCTTACTTTTAATTTTCTATGTGCATTATTTGAATGTTTAATATATCTTTTTTTGTTTTAATCAATTTATTTTAGACATTCAGAGCTGTTATGGACCAAGTCCAAAAGTTTTAATAAAATATTTACGGATTTGCACTTTTTATTCCTGCTCCACCCTAGCGACCAATTGCTTGTCCAAAAAATTATTTAATGTTTGTAAAGTATAACCTGGTATCCACTAATATGACAAGTTGTTTGACAAATAGCCTAAGTAATTATTAATTCTTGTCCAAACATCGACACTGACTGTGCAGTTTTTGTATTTTCTGTTCCACCAATTTAATTACACTTTAAGTTTTAAAAACTACTAAGCCAATTCATTGGTGAATGTTGAGGCCCCATTATCAAAGAAATAAATATCCCAAATTAAATTGTAAATCATAAAAACTTTACCAAAATGGTAGATAACTTTTCACTTATGCAGTTCTGAAGGTAGTGAGAGCAAAACTCATGTTGAATTGAGTAGGAGTGAAAAGGATTCTGAAATTTTCTATACATTAAAGGGATAGGTTAAAAAAATGTTAGGCTAATTACTTCTCTTCCGGAAGTAATCATTTAGGAACTGAAGGTTAAGATTCACATTTATGAAAATTGATGGAAAAGAGTATCAAAATTTGATGAATTGTTTCATATACAAATTGTGGAAAGTGGTAGGCTTGGTTACTTTAACTACCATTACTGTTTAATCTCATAAATTATTTTAATTTTTTGTTTTAATTACCCATACAGGCCTCTCTCTCAGAAAGTGTGAAATGCTGCCTGAGAAGTACTAACGTTTCTCATTAGTAATTCCATATTCCAACGAAACGTCCCAAAAAAACTATCAAACTTTGTCCGTATTCGACATTAGTTAACAATTTTATTAAAGAACTTGAACTTTAGAAAAAACAACTTTATATGTCAAATGTTATTGATTCACACTGCCTCGACCCAAACTTACTCACTTTCCAGTTCTTTATCAGACCCTAAAAGTCCCATTAAAACTAGAAGTCCTATTCAAGATCAAGGAGATTACCTACATTTAATGCCATAATTAGATTGATAAAAAAGGAGCTGAAAAAATGTGTGTTTGGAGTATATTTGTTCAGCTGGATTTCCATGAATGAACATTTTTCATTTGTTCACTTCATCAGTTTTTATCATTTTTTTGCTCTGGTTCGCTTTTGCTCACTTAGATATCTTTCCCAACATTCGCAGGCTAAACTAATATGTTGTAAGTTCTGTAATTAACCAAAACTATTCAGTCAAGTCTTACTTCTCAATGTGTAAAACATTTGTGAATCTGACATGTATTTCTATTATTTGTCATTCATACAGCAGTATAAAATAGGTATAACATTAAGAAATTTATTTAATTTTTTATTTATGTATTTAGAACTTGCTGATTTCATAATTGTTGAAAATATGAAAGCAATCCATGAAAAAAGAGAAAAACATGAGATTTCTAATTTGTACATTTATTATTTGTTCATCCATTTTTAAAGTTAAATTACAATGTCGTGGTTGCCTGTATTTTATCATAGGATTATTTTGTTTGTTGTAAGATATTTCTCAAAAAATATTACACAAATCTATCTCACTATATATATATTATGTACACACATACATACTATATATACAAAATATCTTACCATAATTTTCATTTTTTTTTTCTTTTTGCCTGAAATTTGTCAGCATTGGATATATATACCATATCCAATGATGGATAGAAAATAAGTTTTTATTATTTTTACTTTCCTATGTTGATAGAGATTTATGGTGTATTCTAATATGTGATGATTATTTCACTATGAGCTTTTCTTAATTATTTTTCATTGCATTAAATAAACTTATTATTGTACAGCTAGCAACCAAAATTTTTAATTAAACTCAAAAAGTAAAGTAAGTTTATAGAAGTTTCTTTGAGGATTTAGTTTTTACAACAAGCTGTATGCAGATTGACACTTTCTGGATGAATACCCCACCCCATAGGATTATAAAAGGATCATCATATCCAGTTTTGAATAAAAGATAAAATAGTCTTTTCTGCTTCAGAAAGAGTATGTTTAGAATCTTTTATTGCAATGATTATGAATCTTGGAACTACAATTCTAAATGTTTGGATCATAAGATTCATACATTGTCCATATGTTATTACTTTTTTTCTCCTTAATGATAATTAGTCTCATTTTTTTTTCTTTCTTATGTATTATGTTATTTATTATTCAAATTTGTCTATTTATTATTGTAGGATATACTGGTAATGGCTACCAATGTGCTGATATTGATGAATGCCAAATGAACAATGGTGGTTGTAACACAAGTCCTCTTGTCCAATGTATTAATACAAGGGTATGGATTAATTACCAAAATAAGCATTTCCATTATTATTTTATTAGCTATATTAATTTTGAATTAGATTTTTAATTGTGATATTTATGTTTTAGTTATCTATATTAGAAAATTAAATAATTTCTTCAATGAGGATTATAATTAGTATCACTGAATGAGTTAATATAAGGACTTGAATATATCTCCTTCTTATACTAACTGCTTTTTTAGCAACTCTGTAATTTATGAAGTTAAAATTAAGAACATGCATGTTAAGGCTTAATGATAAAATATAGTCACAATTTGATTTCTCTGCATAAATAATTTGTTATTCCGCAATCCAAAAAATATCTCTTATATAGACTCTCTTGAGTATCTATATATGGACATTAAACCTACTCTAAAGCATTATAAATGTTCTTCAGAAAAAGGAGAGACTAAAATAATCTTTGGCAAACATTAAAATACATCTTGACAATGTCAGAATAGCAAAATGCCTTCTAGAAGAATAATCAATTCAGTTAGCAGGTAATTTTTCCCAAAAGCAGAAATTGAAATTTTCATAGTTTTATTAAATTTATATAGTTCCATTAAATAATAAATAATTGGGTCAACTTGAAAGATAGAAAAGTATAATCCAAAATTATAATAATTTTTTGGATACCACAGAAAATACGAGTAGACATATCTAAATTTCATCTTATCAAACTCATTTCCATTTGGGTAATATATAATGATAATTGAGGTACTTGATCATAAAACATGGTAAATAACTAAATGAAAAATTTTACATTTTTTTTTTAAATTATAATTTTTATCTTCAAATAGCAGTCACTCAACATAACTTAATACTATCATTAAACTTATAAAACAACAAATTTCCTACAGATTGTTTCAACAACCCATGAAATCATCCCTAAGGAATTCACTATTTCCAGTTATTTAATGTTATTGGCATTGTTAGAAAAAATGTTAAATAGCATATTTTATAACTGATAGTCTGAAATGTATTAATCATAAATGGTTATATTTTAATAGAGTTACTTTGTTTAGGTAAACCTACAATGATTCCCTCTTGACAACTAAAGTCAGCAATTTTTTTTTTTTTTTTAATGCACATGGTGTTACTATTTTGTTTCAAATAACTTTGTAATGCTTGATTACCCTGTACTAACACAATATACTAGATAAATTGTGTAAAACTATTGTTGCAAATTCAAATCTTACATCCCAATTGAGATTTGGTTAAGTGTTATAAAACTTCTCAAGTGATCTTATTCTGACTTCTTTTTAGCAGGAACCCCATTGAGTTCATTCAATGTTTAATTTTTTTTATGCTCACAATTACTTTGAGTTGACCTTAATTTTTATTTTTTTTAACTTGCCACTAGGGTAGTCGAGTTTGTGGTCCATGCCCACCTGGCTATAGTGGAGATGGCATTACCTGTACTCAAGCTGGAGGAATGTGTCAAGTGAATAATGGAGGTTGTCATCCAAATGCTAGATGTTTGTTCAATCCAGGTGAGTTATCTGTGTAGGAATGTTCCTAGGGAAAAAAAAAATTGAAATTGGGAGAAAAAGATCAATATTATTGTATTTACAGTTGAGGAGCAAACTATTTCTTATGTTGAAGAGAAGAATAGTTGCGGTGATCAGTAAAAAAAAAAAAAAAAATGGTATAGTAAGAACATACATGTAAGTTCTACTGTTTCTTACCATAACATGTTTGACCAGCCGTGATGAAAGTCTGAACTTTGGGCCGAAATGTTGGCAAAAATAAATATAATTATTTATTGTTAATATTTTTTTTTCACTCATCACCCTGACCATTCTTCTCTTCAATCATTCACTACACTCAATCATCAATCCACAATTATTTCTTTTTTTTTTTTTTTTTTTATTTTTTTTATTTTTTTTTTAAGGGAAGATGAGATTATGTGAAATCTCTGCATTATATCTTTGGGCAGTATATATAGGACTTCAGTGGGAGTCTTGAGCAGACTAAAAAAAATTATATGTTTCATTTTATAGTGGTTATTTATCTTTGAATTGTATTGTTTAGCTTTTGTGATGTCATATAATATAAATTCATTATAATATAAAAATAACTCCATCCAGACTTTTTGTACACAAAATGTATGCTGAATATTTTCTGTTGTATATGACTTGATAAAAATATTATTTCTTGTCCTCTACTGTTTATGAGGTACAAGCCAGTTTTCATTGGTGACACTATAAATTTCCCATTTCAATCCTGGCCTAATATTCTTTAAATCAGACGCCATTTTTTCAGGTAGCATGATCTGACTAGCAGACTATCATTTTTTATAATATAAATGTTATGAATATTCAAAAAAATCTTTCAAAATGTTCATCACATAATGTCAATTTGTTTACATGGGTTCTGACTAAAATATTAGTAGTTTACCCCTCGACTATTAGTTAAAAATATTCCCAAAATATTATTATGGTAAAAAAATGTTAATAACTATGGTTCTTTCCATTTCAAACCATCCTGCTAAGCATGAAACTCATGGTCACAAATTTTATAATTTTTTTTTAGTCCCTTTTACCATCCTTATTAACCATACAAAAATTTATTTTGATATCCTAAACAACTTTTAAGTATAAATTTTCAAAACTATATTAATACAATTTTTCATTAATAAAAACTGTAGTATTAGTGGCATAGTTTAAGCAAAGTTCGAACCTAAGGATAACTTAAGAAATTTTTGAGATATCACAAAATATTTTGCAAAAAAATGTTTAGAAACAAATAAGATATGTAAAAAAACATAATAAAGAACAAGTTAAAACATGATTTAGTTATTAAAGTTTTTTTTAATTAAGTAATTTAATTTAGCAGGAAACATGTACATATTTATGAACTTAATTAAAGTGACTTAAAAAAAATATATACATTTTTGTTCTTAGTAACTGATGTTTTGGCCCTAAATTGTATGCCATTCTCAGAGTGGGTGAGTTTAACTTCTTCAGTTAAAAAACTAGTTGATTCTAACATATAAAAATACTCAAGCCTCTTTCAAACATTACTACAGTGTACATTTTTCTTGATTATTGGTAATTTTTAAATTTGTAAAATGTTGAACATTTGATTAAAAATTACATATCAACTTCTGATATATGTAGATCTAGTTCTCATCTATTTAGCTTAATGAAAATTTTTTTAATAAATATTTTTGTAGCATTGAACTACGTGCAGTGTGTATGTCCTCCGGGATATGTTGGATCTGGGATTGGTCAAAATGGCTGTGTACCTAGTATTCGAGGCGCAAATGCTACTTCAGTTTGTTTAAAGAACCCCTGTAGAAATGGAGGTACATGTGTACCTAAACCATCTGGAACTTATGTTTGTTGGTGTCGTCCTGCATTTGCTGGTATTGCCTCTTTTATTATGTTATTTAAGCTTATAGTTATAATAATAATTTTACCTCAGCAACATTTTATAAGAATGGAAAAACTTTAATTAATTATAAATAAATAAAGTTTAATTAGAAATGATACGATTTATACTACATGATCCAATAAAATGAAGTAGTTGTGGTGGTTAATAGAACCAAATATTCCTCGTGTTTGCAAATTTTCCAATAGTGTTAACCTTTACCTATTATGGCATAGTATTTCTAGGCTTACTATCTAAGAAAAATTTTAAAGGTTACTCTTCAAATGCATCTATGGATATTATGACTCTCCAGATGAAGATATTGAAATGATAATAGGATCTCCTTAGATTGGTGTTGTAATGATGATGTGTTTGATAGAATCAACATGAATCTGATAATAATAATCCATCTGTTGTTACAATACTAAATTTAAAAAAAACCCACATTCTTTTTATGAGAAAAAAAGAAAAATGTTTATTCATGTCGAAAATGAATCTCTGGAAATAAAGATGGAAGGTATACATATAATATATCTATGGAAAGCAAAGAATTTTATAAAAAAAAACAATATCTAATGTAGAAAGTCGTAGAAGGTAATGGAGATTCACAAATAATTATAAATAATAATGTTATTAATTATATTAACAACCTAGTTGAAAAACAAAAACTTGAACAAAACTAAAATTATGTATTAAGAGTAGGTGTATGCCTGGTATATTACATCAATTCCTTTGTCTACTTAGTTGTTGTGACTCTTAATATAATTTTAAATATTATTATGATTAATTAGAAAATGGCTCCAACAATGTAGAATTCCATAAGTATGTGGATCGAATAATGAAATATCTGTCGAAAGCAGCGGTTCGGTGGTATCTTGTATACAAATCTAAAGACTGGGAATGGGAAAACCCAAATTAGAAAATTTTCATGATCGCAATACTTTCATTTACTATATATTACATATATAGGTAAGTAAAAGTAAAAAGATAATGAAGTATGATGAAAAATCCACAAACTTAATAGATTAGATGTATAATAAAATTATGTAATACTTAACTGTTTCAAGTTAATATGGTTTTACAAATATAATTTTTACTTGCACTAACTTATATATGGAAATACCTATTTTACTCAAAATATGATAGTAAGTGAAAGTTGTGTGATGTCCATGAGTCCAGTACAATTTTTGTATTTCTTTCTATTTTTTAATTTTTTTTTAAATTTATATATTTGTTTTTCCTCCATTTTTCTGTAATTATGGCAGATAGATGATCTGCCACTACATACATATTATTTATTTACTAAAATTAATTCTATTCTTTATCACAATTTTCAGGACCCAACTGTTCAGTTTCTGTAGATCCTTGCAATCCTTCTCCATGTAAAAATGGTGGCACTTGTTTAAGAGTTAGATTTTTAGTGCATGAACATTATCGATGCTCATGTGCCAGAGGATATGCGGGTCCAACGTGTGCTCAGCAAATTGAAGGTGCATTGCTAATTCATTTTTTATCTTATTATTATATTTTCCATTATTACATGTGAATATATATATTTTATTTCTAGTTCTATCTGTCGTTTAATAAGTAGCAACCTTTGTCAAAGTTTCATACTTTTTGGTAATAACATATTTTAAATCTCTAAAATCTTTTCTATTTTAAATTTAAAGAAACTTTGAATGGTTAACAGTAGGTAAACATCTTGTTGATTTTGTAAATGCCAATGATCCTACAAAAGAATAATTGATTAATAATTAATCAATAGTATATAACTAGTCTTTTAAAAGAGTAGGCTTAATTTATTACTAATATATATTTTAGTCTTTACATTTTTGGATCATTCAATTAGTCAACCTATAGATTTTGACTTTATATAATATTTACTGATTTATAGCCTATTATTACTGAACATTAATATTTTTAGTTAATCTTCAGTATCTTTTCTTCTTCAAGATTGAAAATTTATGTACTCCAACATAAAGAGTTCATAAGGAAAATATATTATTTTTTTTTTACTTAAGTTACTTTTATATCTCATGTTAAACTTATTTCAGGTTGTGTTGGGAGATTCTTTCAGGCTTCTGGTAACCTCACATTTCCTCAAAATAACCAGACAACATACTTTGGTCGACAACAAGTCTGTGCTTGGACCATTTATTCTCCTAATCGGAGGCAAGTAATAAATATCACTTTTACCCAGATGAATATGGGAATATCTCAAAACCCACGGACCTGTTATGGCACCTTTGTAGAAGTGAGTATTTTATTTTTATTTATTTTTTAACATGCCTTTAAGGACCTCTTAAACAGCATTTATTTTGGTTTCTTTCAGACTGCTTGGCTCTTTTTTCCTCAGTCCAATTATCTCTGCTGGGATTTTTCTTTCTCCCTACTCTCTCAAATTTCTTTTTGCATTTTTCTCTATCCAGACAATCTTAATCTATAATCCTTTGAGCTCTTCCTTCATCTGCTTACTATAGCCATATCTTAACTTCTGTAGTTCCAAGGTTTATTGAAAATCTGTTTATTAAGCCTCGACTGGTTCATTCGGACTATGTGCTCATAGAATTTCAGTTTATTTTTTCTGATTGTCAGTTTCTTTAATGCTGATGTATATTTCTTCATTTATCTCTGTTTACGGGCTTCTTGTGTTCTTTTGGGACCATAAATCTCTATCAAAATATTTCCTTCTATCTTGAGTCGATTTCTCATTCAAGTTGCAGTTCCCATGCCATACATGATGACTGTTCTATAACTGTACTATACTGCCTTGATTTCGCCTTCATAGAAAGATTCATATTATAGTACATATATTTGTGTGACAAAATTTAGTTGTTCTAATTTTTTTGGAGTATGAATTACTCATTTATCTGTCGTGTTTCTACTAATTATTTCACCAAGATAATTGAAATAGTTCACTACCTTAAATTTGCCATATTTTCTTTTTGGAATGTTTACTGATACTTGTTATCATTTTCGTTTTCAAAAACGAGATCTGTAGGCCTCTTTTTTCAGCTTCGATAATAATTCACAATCGCTACATCTCCATTTTTTGCTGGTCTCTTTTAGGCCTTCTATGTCTGTAGAATCAATTTTTGTACATTTCACGTGAAATAAGTTCTGACACATGACACAAACTATTTTAGTTTTGTCTTCACTGCTTACTGTTTTCGCACACAATTTGCAAATAACCATGTTGATTAGAAAAAAAAATAATGATAAAATTAAAATAAATCACTATTGCTTTGAAAAGTCGAAAGTAGATGAAAACAATAATATTATCAGAGACACGCCTGTTTGTTTGGGTGGAAGCTGGTAGGATTAGGCTGCTGCCGGCTATCCTCACTACTCCAACTCAATTGCTTCCTTCACCGGCACTGTTTTTTAACTTATTGAATTTATATTAATTTTTTATTATTTATGATCAGTCCTGCTTTTTCTGCAGCTTCTTCACACTCCTCGAAGGCTCCTAAGAGTGCATTGGATGTCCTTCCTGTAATGACTACATCATAGGTGTTGAACCATTCTGTCATATATACATCATCCTGACCTCTTGCAGATCGATCTCATGACTACTTCTATTACCAAATTGAACAGTACTGGGGAAAAATGGTCTCCATATTTCATACCCTTCTGGATGTCAAATTTTTTTTTAAACTCACCTTGAATTTTCACCACACCTTTGCTGTTCTGCAAGGTCATCTTAATAAGCCTGATAAGGTTTGGCGGGCATCTCAGAACTTTTAATCTTTTATACATTTAATTTCTCTCTATACTATTATGGGCTTGCTTGTAGTCAATAAAAAAATGGTGTTGATCGATCTTTTACTCATGGCATTTTTCGAACATGACTCTCATGGAGAAGATGTGGTGTATTGTAGATCTTTCAGGACGAAATCCACATTGGTACTCGCCTACTACTTCTTCGGCTCTCCCCACAAACTGTTTCATCAGCAATGTTGATAGAACCTTGTACTCTGTGCACATTAACGAAATGCCTCTATAGTATTGGCAATCCAGTCAGTCCTTTTTTTATGTGTATTGGTAGAACAACAGTCTCCTTCATCCAAATTTCCGATATCAATTCATATATTTCCTTGTGCAGTGTCTCTCCTAATTTGAATGCTTCTGCTGAAATCCCATCAATTCCAGGTGATTTGTTATTTTTTAGATAAAGAATTACTTCCTCTACATCTTCAGAATCTGGAGGTTTCAGCTCTATTTCTTTCTCCGTCATTTCTGGTTCCCAAACTGTTTCTTTCTGATTTAGATTAGAGGTTAGCATATTTCGGATGTAATCTCTCCATCTTTCTATTACTTCCTCTTTGCCTGCCAAAAGTTGATTGTCTTTCCCTTTACAAAAATATAATTACATAAAATATTAATATTTACATTTAACAATTTTTGTTGAATCTGAATTGGTTTTCTTTGATCATTTCATTCCGATATTTTAATTAATAATATATTAATTATAAATCTACAGATCTATGACGGAGAAACATCTTCCTATCCTCTTATTGGCCAATACTGTGGATCTCAAACTCCAAAACCAATCATATCAACTCACCCAACTGTGTTTATTACAGCTAAAATATCATATTTTCGTATAAGCTTCAGTTTTAACTGGACTACTGTTCCTAGAAGTAAGTAATACCAATTCCTTTATTTGTTGCATTTTCATGTTAAATTCTTCAAAAAATCTGATATTTTATTGATCAGACTACACTACATTCTTAGTGGTGTGTGTTTATAGTCGGTTCAAGAACTATACTATCTTAATTTTAATATCAAGAAACAAAAGAGGTATCAGATTTTCAAATTTTAGAAATAGATACGGGGCTTAGGCCAAATGTCTATTAATTAATTTAACAAAATCATTGTAACTTTGTTATATGTTGGAAAAATTTAGGAATTAATAAAATTCAATAAGTTGGCAATCCAATAGAACTTTTTTGAAAACAATGTTTTTTTTAGATTTTTGACTCTTCATGCTGTCTCTTTCAGTTGATTAAACACAAATTTTGGTTTTATAATTTAACATTGTGAAGAATTTAAAGTTGTTTTTATTATTTTAGTTGTAGAAAAAAATTGTAATCTTTCTGATATTATTATAAATATAGAGAGCATATCATCGTTAATATAACCAGTCTGAGTGCATAGTGTTAATTTAATAGAAACCTTTCAAATTAATTAAATCTTCTTCATCTTCCTATGACTTCTGTATGCTGTCAAGCAAGGAGTGGCAGTCTTTATCCAGCTGATGGTCAACTGTACATCACAACTAACAAACGCATTTTGGAGGTGTTTCCTTTGTGATTAGAAATCCATGGGAAAACCATGTGTGGTCTATCCTAAGTCTTGTTATAATAACCTCTTCTCTTCTACTGTTGAGATTAGAGCTTCGCCTTAATTTCTTTCTTGATGTTTTTTAATTTATTTTACTCTTTAGTGAATTCCCAAAGCTGAACCCAGGCTTTTGGCTTAGTACTTTAAATATTTGCATATGTCTGATAAGGTGTAAGTGTTGTTTACTTCAACTGATGATAATACTGCTTCCTTTGCTGCTTCATTTCTTTTTTGTGATGATAGCCAGACTAGTGTTACAGTTTTGTTCAAATTTGTTATCATTGTGGAATAGGATCTAGCTTCTTTAATTATAAGGTCTTTTGTGAAGATGTTAGTAAATGATATTATAATAGATAGTGAGCCCATAAAAACAACTATTTTTTCTACTCCATATTACATAATATGATACAGTGTTGCACTAATAGAAGAGCATTCTGCATTTAAGTTGCTCACTGTTTAAGAAAGCCTGTATTTAATAATATTGGAGTTGATAACAATAAAATATGCAGCCTGTCCTATAGTAGATAGAGGGCACTACTGATGAAGAGTTTCGTTTGGTTGAAAATCAGGAGGAGACAAGCTGAAATTGGTACAGTGGTACCTATGATGGTGGAGTATTCACAAAGAATAAGGGATTATGCTACTGACAGATGGTTCTGGGTGAGTGGTAAAAGTGCCTATTGTATAGTGTTAGCAGAATAATGATGCCAAGTTTTCCCTAGCAACTGATGGTTTTTAAACCAATTATAAGTTTTATATGTATAATTTATGGTTAAATTAATGTGTAATTTAACATAATTTAATTTTTAATGAGTATTAATTTGTTGGAGCCTGGCCCAAATAGTATTTTTCAGAGCTTTTAAAGTATTTTTTGTACTAAATAAATAGTATTGGTAAGACATGTTTCGTTTATTTCCTGCATAATCATGCTGAGTTATTTTTGGAATTTCAAATGTTGTGGAAATGTACCAAGCTTTATTTTTAATAAATTTTGGAAAAAAAAATATATATATTGCTTATTATTACTTTCTTGTATCTTTGGCAATTCTTTTTTTTTAAAGACTACTTTTAGAAAACAATTACCTTATCTTATTGGAAAAAGGTAGTTAGATATTTTTTTTTTTTTTCAGAATGTGGCGAAACTTTGGATGCAAGTTCCCATGGGACATTATCGTCACCTGGTTCTCCTGGAAAGTATCCACTTAATGCACATTGTGTTTGGAAAGTTGTAGCACCTCTTGGCAAGAGGATTAGATTTACTTTTTTTTCTTTAGATATTGAAAATCACCGTAATTGCACTTTTGATTATCTAGAGGTAATTTTTTATGTTTTACTGATTTTTTATGTTTTTGATTTGTTAAATATTCTAGTGTTGTTCTTAGCTTTTGCTATTTTTATTAATAATTAACTTTTTTTCTAAATTTTTTGATGCAGAAATAACTAAAAAATTTTTTTTTTAAGTTATGCTCATTTGAAAATGAAAATGGACCATTACATTAACTTTTTATAAAGTGGTGAGGAATAAATATTTTTCCGATTTGACACCTGTTGATTGTTTACACTCGTAATAGGCTAATGCTTTTGAAATAAACTCTCTCAAAAATAACAAAAGAGGGGATTATCTTTAGGTTATAGCTTGTGTTCACTTAACTTTATTTCTCATAAACCTATTTTTTTTTCACTAACCGGTTATAGTATTTTTCATTAACTGTTTGTAAAAGTTATTTTGGGTAGTAAAGAATTTCCTCAGTCAACCCTTTATTTTTTGAGTTTTTGGTTCTCAACATATATCAATTTTTTGTCTCCACTCACGATCAGATGCCATAAAATTCTTTCTATTTTGTTTTATACCATTTTTCACTTTTCCATCTGTCTATTATTCAAATGATGGTACCAATTTTCCTGCTTTCTGGATCTTTTCTATGCCCTGCAGACAATCACAAGTAGTTCAGCAATCAACATTTAACTTCTCTCTGCCATGTTTTTGCCGCTTTTGAGAAAATTGTAAAATTGTGTTTCTCCCTTGATATAAAATGACACTTCCGGTTAGCTGATTTTGAGGAAAAAGTTGCTGCCACATCTAAGGCATATAGCTATCTTAAATACATAATATCAGTTTCGTACGACTTTTAGTTTTTGAGCTAGACTGTTCACATACACACAGACCATTTTTCGGGACTTGGTTATTTGGGCACAGGGGACCTCAAAACATGTATTTCTGTTGAAAACTCAGATTAAAAAATTTTCACGATCGCAATACTTACCCTTACTACATATTATGTATATAGATAAGTGAAAGTAAAATTTGGAAATTTAATATAATTGAATTGAAAGATTAAACTAGACCCTGACATTAGACTAGAGTGATAAAAAGAGATTTTTTGTCTATTAGAACTTCTCTGTTTTTCTCTTCCAAATCTTGGAATTTCCCTAAAAAGAAAATTTTTATTTTTAAACGAAGTAGAAACCCATTTTACACCCACTTAAACCTCAATGAACTAGAGCACTCTATGTTTTCATCCTGGTATCATCTCTTTATTTTTCCCTATGTTTAGTAATGCTACGTTAGTGAACTAAAGCTTCCTGATATTTTTAAACAATACTTCTCAGGGGGATCAAATATTTCCCATCATCCAAATAAACGTTTAAAAAAAATTATGCACCATATCTTTGGATCTCTGAGGTTTGGGCAGAAATATCTCAGAAGATGTAAGCTAGAAGTATAAACTCCTTGGTGATCCAGACTTTGTAAGGCAGATCAGGCTGACTGAAAAGAGTGAAGTGGCACCGCCCTGTAGCATGTATGCCATAGAATGATATCCTGAGAAAAATATAGAGTGATGACATTCACAACAACAGACGGGGGGTGATATTTTAGAGAATCCTGGGGGTCAGTGATTAGAGAATAGTTACCCAATGGCTTACAGATTGGCAGAAGTTATTAGAACAGGCCAGGGACCAGTAATGGTCTATCGAGTCAATGGAAGAAGATGACAATATTCTAATATCACTAATGAAATGAAAATAATTTTATTATTCTGGGACTAGTGTCCCTTTAGAACAAGTCACAAATACAGAATATATATCAATATTTTGGTGTGTCCATGAAATACTATTTACTATATTCGGAGTACAATAAAGTTATAAATGATGAAAAGATATAAATACGTGTAAATATGAAATATACAAAGAAATTAATTAAGTGAACGAAATACCGATGAATTACAAAATAATCAGAGTATCTGGGTGTACTTTGAGGTTTTTAAGTGCATTTCGTGATCAATCGGATTGGGAATGGAGTAGGTGTTCGAAGAGGAGAGATTTGAAAGAGGATATCGATTTTGCGTTTTGAATATCTGAACGTATAGAGTTCCAGAGGGAGACTTGTATTGAAAAGGATTTATCAAATGCAGCAGTTTGGTGAGGGGGAGGATAGAGGTCGGACGCACAGGATCTGGTGGGACGGGATTGAAAGGAGCGTTTGAATTGTAGCATCTGTAGAATATAGGCAGGTCGCCGTGTTGTAATGGCTCGGTATCTTCGGTATATCTCGGTATCGGTAATGTTCTTTAAACATTAAAAGTAGTGACAAATCTATGTCCTCCCAAGATATATATTACTCTGAAATATGTACTTTTGGGTTTTTATAATTTTACATTTTATAACTTACACCTTTGTTATCTTATGTAAATGGTCATTAAAGTACTGTATTAATTTAATTCTTATAAGAATTTTTGATATAGGATGGAACAGTGGAATATCCTTATCCTACTGTATTGCAAAAGGTCATGTGTAAAAATTGAGTTTTTTTTACAGAAAAGCTGTAAAAGCTGCACCATAAAACCAGTTATTTTTTTATGATTTCATATTTTATTCCCCTCTGCTATTTAGCCTGTTTAGCAGACTACTTATAACAGTTTCAGATTACAAAATGTCATCTTTAGTGCAAAGAGAATAATCATGTAAAATTGTTACATACAACATTTTGCACGAACATTAGTAGATATTCTAATCTCTATGAAAGTTTTTAGCTTATATAATATCATGAAAGTCCTCAAGATATCAATCAAGTTCTTGACACTAAAATTTTTTGTTGCATAGTTTCGTAATGGTGGTTCTGATGTTGGCCCAGTCTTAAAAAAGCTATGTAATTCAGTTGTGCCAGAGCCATTTCTTTCATCAGGCAATGAAGCGGTTGTTATTTTCCATTCTGACAGGTGAGTTATGTTTAAAATATTTGGCTTATACATCTAAATTACTTTTCCTAATTTATATTCTTTGTAGGTTATTAGTTAATATTAAATATGTTTTAATTTACATCCCTTAAAGTAAAATTTGATTGTTACTTTTTTTTAAATTAAGTGATATGCCTACTCAATTACAGTTTATGTATAACTCTTATTCTTTTCTAGTGAAGGCTAAAAAAATATTCCTCTCTTTTTTTTTTTTTTTTTTTTATAAAAGGCTTTAGCTAGACACCATTACGCAAAATTTTAAATATTAATTACTCCAAGTGATTATTTAGTATCATTAACTATTATTATTATATTAATACTACATAATACAATATCATTATACTATAATAATAATATTATTATTATTACATTATTAGCATCATTAACTAACTTTAATACTATGAAACATGATATGCAGAATTTACTAAAATATGAAAAATCTAATATAAGAGGATATTGAACAATATTTGGCTCCCAAAAAACTGCTACTTATTGTTCAGAGTTCGATAATATCTTAGTATTATTAAAAGGAATTATGGTATATTATAATATATTAATCCTTTGCAGCTCAAGAACAGGAAAAGGATTTCAAATATCCTATTCGCCCACAGAAGGAATACCAGGTTGTGGTGGCATTTACACAGCTCCACGTGGCACTATATTAGCACCATCCAAACCAGGAGGAACAGAATATCTAGATGACCTCAATTGTGAATGGCTCATTAGTCTTCCTGTCGGTGAAAGAATCAAGATTGATGTCCCTTCCCTCAAATTGGAAGTTAATGTTGGCTGCAACTATGATTACCTGACTGTATGTATTACATATTTTTGCACTACTTAATTTTTATACTGTCATATTTTTTTATGATATCTGTATTATATTTCTGTGCCTCTGAGGTAAAAGACACCATGTGCATTTTTTTTACTAAATTGACTTCATACTATGTTCTTAATGTGAATTTTTCAATCTATAAAATGGTATAGACCACTATGTCGTATTTCCACAAATAACGAAGATAAGACATTGAAAAACAAAACCATATACATTTTTATCAGAGGTAAAAGCTACCATGTGGATGGACTTAGTTTCGTTTACTTCAAGAAATTTAAGAAGTATAAAACACCATATGGACTTAGTGTCGTATAAATCTGTGCCCCAGAGGTATACAACACCATGTCCATTTACTTATTAAATGTGTTAGGATACTGGTTAATAATAAATAAAAGTTAAAAGTTCCCAAACTAATAAAACACAAATCTATATTTCACTGTTAGAATAAAAAAATAAAAATAAAATTCTTCTAAGAAATAAATTAAATGTAAACTTTAATAAAAATAAATATTTTAACTTTTGTGATATCTTGTTGGCTGATGTTCTTTTGTCCAATCTCCTTGAGCAAAGACAAGGTCCCACTAGACTATTTATAGAACACTCTAAAAATAATGTTAGTATCATAAACTCACTTTGCGTGACTCACCAAAATCTCAGAGGATGCAGTCAAAGCGGTGGGCAAAGTCTTCACAATTAAATGTTTAAAATAAAAACGACTATGTGATAAAACAAACTGCACTGATTTAACCCATTCTATTTTCTCTATCTCTACTATTTATCTTAATGTTTAATCAATAAGCAAAGAGATTTGATTGGATATCGATTTGAGTATAAAATGTATAACCACTGCAAATGATTTAGTAATTAAGAAACAAGTTTAAATAGCTCAAAGTTATGGAAAATTACTCTCCAAACAAATACAAAAATGTGGCATGATGTCTTTTACATCCAGAGTACAGATTTAGTAACTAAGAAGCAAATTTTAATAGCTCTAAGTTATGGAACATTAACTCCCTTCAACAAATACAAAATCCGGGCTACAGAAATGTAATAGTATTAATTACTATTTTGCAGTTAACGGTAACAAAATAAAAGTGTGCAGATTGATGTTTTTAAACACTCTTGCAATTTTGGATACTGTTGTGGTGCATTGTTTAAAAACTGTCAGCCAAGAGGTACAGTTTGACTTGGCCAGAGAGGGAAAAGCACTGCATCGAACAAAATATCACAAGATTCTATAAATAATGTTGTTCAACATATCTCTTCCATCTCTTCTTATGAAAGCCATTATTGTTGGGAAAATACACAGCATAGATAATTGGGCCCTCATTTAAATAAAGAGAAAATTTATAACTTATATCTATGGTTTTCCGAAGAAAACAACATACATGAAGAACTAACACCTCCAGAATGGAAATATTTTGAAGTTTTTGATACAAATTTTAAGCTATTTTTCAAGCCCTCAAAGGTAGACATATGTGATTCATTTCAGGCCAGATTTAAAGATAGCTATTTAACCCAGGTAGACAGAGACAAACTAAATGCTGAATATGTATTGAATGCACACTTCACTGAATCAAATAAATGATGACCCTGTATATGACCAAATATATGACTTCCCACTCTCCCTAATCCTTGACCCATTTAGCCTCTGATTGGTCATTTCCAAATCCATGTGTGTTATTTGTTTTACGTGAAGTATTTTCAATAATATAAAATAAAGTAGTGTTTTTTTACTTCACCATATTTATTTCACTTTTAAATCTACAGCAGCTATGTTTCGATTGATTAGTAGCCATTTTCAAGCCATCTTTTACATATTTATCACTTAAATTGATAAAGGTTCTAACTACATCATTCCGTAATCCAATAATGATGCTTAATTCTTCTTTAAATGACTTCCAACTCTCGCTAATCCTTGACCCATTTAGCCTCTGATTGGTCATGTCCAAATCCATTTGAATTTGGACATGATTCATGTCACGTAATTAGTATTAGGTAACCTCAATGAGTACAATTAGTATTGAGGTTACTTACTCCGCTGGAAATCGATAGTGAATAGCGATGGCTGGATATTTTTAATGAAGATATCTGTAAATTTAAATATTTCAACAGTATTGGTGTCTATTCTACTGAGTTATTCTCCTGATATTCTTGTTAAGAGTCTATTATATACAGTACAGGTTCCTTTACCACCTGTCAGCAGCGAACAATGTTCAGAAATGAGGTGTAAAAAAAAAAATCCGAATTTCATGAAGAAATAATGAATCCCGATTTGAGAGCAGTGGCAGTACCTCTATACCAGGTGCTTCTCCCACCCCTAACCATCTCCTCCCATCCCTTAGCTGAGTTTAGCCGCTCAAAAGTCCTCTTTAAATGGTTTTAACAAAAGCAAGCTCAATTTTTCTTTAAAGTAAATTTTGTCTAGTTTACAGTGAAGCAATTGTTAATTACTTAAATTAAATAGTTTTTTGTTATCACTTCCTATTCAACAAAAAAACGCGGCTTGCTTAAAAATCACAAATCTTTAATTCCCTACTTTCCTGCTGAAAATCTAACCATTGTTTATATAAACTTTTTTGTATTTATTGAGTTCTGTTATCATCCCTTTAAATATTTCCCTCTACTTATGATACACCTCTATTTCCCCCTACACGATACACCTGTGTATGGGTAAAAAACTAAATTGCTGATATGGGTCACCATATCAGGCTGAAAACTTTTTACAGCCAGAAAATCCAGATTTATCTGATATTTTTTTTTCATGTATTATTTCTAAACAGTGCATCAAAGGGAAAACGTATTCTTTAATAAATTAAAGAACATCAAATTGTGTGTAGAACAAGTACCTAAACTTAATAATTTGATTAAATGATACGGTCGATAACCACGTTCAGTGAATTCTAATTTTTACCAACATTGTCAAAATCTGAGAAAGATTGCTATAAATGGCCCAGCAGCTTCGAAATGAGTTCTCTAAGAAAAAAAACTCAGAATAATTTCTGATTTCAATCAAAATCAGATTCCGATCAAATTGGAGACCAAATAATTGCTATCTTCCTTCATGAAAGCGTTCCCAACATCAGCTATTTTAAGAAAACAACAACACTTTCTGATGAGAAATATACAAATTATCATCGTGACCAGTTTTATAAATTGCATGGATTCTTCAAGGAGCGTAATGCGTCCAGTTCTATAGGAACAGAATGAAAACTTATTTCGGTAGAAAACCTGTCTTTTGAGGCAGCCAAGATCCAGAATGGATTGTCGAGCTCGCGATGATGATATTGATCACATTATAAAATTCGTATTAGAGGATGATTTTTTCCTATATTTTTCTTTTATTTAAATAGCTGTTTTTGGATCTTTTTTTTGGTATTTTTTTTCAACATCTAAGGGACGGCGCCCTCCTCCCCCTGCCAGAATTTGCTAGTGCTGATCACGATAATAATTTTTTTTTTATATTGCATTAGTTAATTCGTGAATGAGGATAAATTTTCCTTATATTTCTTTTTTCTTTAAAAAAGTGTTTTTTGTAACTTTCAGATTTTTTTTTCACACTATCTAAGGGTGCACCTCCTGGCAAAATTCGCTTGTGCTGTTCACATTAATAATTATTTTTTTACATTATGTTGGGAAATTGATCGTTTATGAGGATGAATTTTCCCTATATTTCTTTTTTTTTTAAATAGCTGCTTTTTGGAACTTTTAAAAAAATTTTCCCGCTTCCAGGGGGAGAGGGAAAGGCGTTGTGCGCCACTCGTGCCCCCTGTCTGGATCAATTGTTGTTTGAGAGATGTAATTGATCTTCATTAAAACTGTTAGTACTCAAGGGACACGAAATTTTATGTTCTACAGCTTTTATTCTATGAGTTTTTTTCTCTTAAAGAGCTCATTTCCAAGCTGTAGAAACATTAATAGTAAATTTTCTTAGTTTTTGACAAATTTGGTAAAAATAAATGTTGGTTGCTCATGGTTATCGACCATACCACTTAACCAAATTATCAAGTTTAGGTACTCGTTCAACACACAATTTAACGTTCTTTAATTTCTTAAAGAGTATGTTTTTCACTTCGGTACACTGTTTAGGAGTTATAGGTGAAAAAACATAAAAATACGACTTTTTTGACTGTATAAGGTTTTCCCTTGGTGGCCCGAATTAGCAATTTTGTTTTTTACATGTCTCAACTAATATATACAAGTTAAAAAAAAAAAACTTTTCCCACATTTTTCGCAATGATTTTCCCACTTCGATTCTCAAGTTGCTGGTCTAATATTCTTTAAAGCAGCCTTCATTTTTACAGATAGCAAGATCCGACTGGCGAACTCTCATTTTTTAATAAATACTATAAACATTTAAAAAAATGCTTTCAATGTTTTCATCAAATAATGTCGATTTTTTCTCACGGGCTCTGGGACTTTAAGGACCTTCCAAAAACCAATGTTTAAACCCCAGTTTATCCAACCGTTGATGGCTACAGTGATTCATTTAATGATTAAACTGCTTTCTATTATAGCGTAATGTTCTTTGACAAATTAGTGCTTTTCAACAACTGATGTTTATGTATATAGTTTGGAAATGTTTTGTTCAGTAATAAAGTATATTTTCCTTGTCCTACCTATAACTATTAAAAAGACAACAGAACTCTGAAACTTAGTGGAAATGCTTTCTTGAACAAGAACAATAATACTGTTACATTATATCCATAAAGCATTGTTCATGTCTAGAAGTATACAATACTGTGTTCACAAAATAGGTAAATTGTCATAAATAAATATTATGATCTATACTTGTGATTACTCATCAATGCTAATAACATTATAAAAAACTTTCATTAAGCTATTTCTATAAATAACGAAGAAATAAATTTTAATAATTCAAATTTGTAGAAAATTGGTTCTCTTTAAAAATGCAAAAATGTGACATGGTGTTCTTTACCTCAGGGGTATAGATTTAACTTTGTTAAAACAATATAGTGTTTGTTTTTTGCAAATTTTAGCTGAAAATTACTGATATTTAAAAAAATGTCCCTCTAATATAAGATATGAAAAATGGTTTAAATAGTACTTAATATGTTGATGGATTGGACTTATTTAGATTGATACCTTTTTAGATGAGTTTCGTTTTAAAACTATTTTACAGTTATTATAAATAATTCAACAAAGGTTGTGGTTGTTTAAAGCCTCAGGACTTTTAAGTAAAATGTGAGATCATTTAAATTTGCTCTGAGAGGATTGACTTTTATTCTATAGTAGATCCTTCTTACTATCTCTACAACTGTTTGATAATCTGCAGAAATAGTCTGTCATATAATTGCTGCCCTTGTTGAAGCAGAGCTGGGACAAAGGAGGGGCAAAGTGAGCACTTGGGATTAATCTTATTTGATGATGATATTTACTTCAAAATAGGTTGCATACAATTTTCTATAAAATGTTGGCTTTTAATGTGGTGTCAGCGGGATGCGAAAGATGGTGTGAAAAAATTAATCTGTGTTTCTGTCTCATACAAGCAACTCATTAATAAAATCAGCTTTTATACTGTGAAGTCGTGATGGCCGAGTGTGTTGGAGCGTTGCCCGTTCTAGTATCCTCATACGTACGTAGCGATGCCGGTTCTAATCCAGTCTGAAAGGGGTAGACCTTTATTTCGTGGCGGCCCCACGGAATGAAACTCTACCCTTCAACTCTGGTTAAAATAGGTTTGGTTGTATCTCTAGAATAACCCCCCTTCCTCCTCCCCCTTTTGTGTCAGGGGGAGGAGTACACAATTAAATTATCATTATTTATATTTTTCTTAAATATCTCAGTGAATATTGAATTTAGCCAAAAACAACTCATATATACAATTAAACGAAAGTATATTTTCTTCACATCATACATAATACATTTTAAAAAAACCTTAAATTGTTACGCATCAGGTTTTATGTAAAAATAATTTAAAGTAACTCTAAATCAAAACATTTTGGACTGCACAGTTTCATATGTTAACAAATGTTCTGTGTTGTTTTTTGCTGTTGTTAGATGAGAATACAGAGCTGTTTATGTACACAGACTTTTCATTTATCATATTTTGTTTGTCTGCTCATATTAATTTTCAGGTGATTGCCCAATGGTTTCTTTGTTTGTTTCGATCTCACCTGAGTCACACAAACAATTGCAAACTGTTCCTCTTGAGATCTTCCAATTTTTCTTATTATTTCTTTGTAAAATTGTGTTAAGTCTACTTTTACCTAACAGCACACATTTAGAAATATTCATAAACTATTTTTAGATTTATTTATAAATGATTCAAATGAGACAGTAATTTTATCATTTGATCATTCTGAATTAGTAGATAAAATGTTTAATAGTATGTAAGATGGATATAATTATAAAACAAATACTTTTTAATTATTTTTTAAAATTATTGTGTGATTTTAAAACTGTTTTAGGTATTTGATGGGCCTTCTCAGAGATCAGGTGTTGTGGGTAGATGGTGTGGAAAAGATACAGTTCAGCCATTTACTTCTTCTTCAAATGAAGTTCTTGTGATTTTTGAATCTGATTCGACTTACAATGATGGAGGATTTGTACTGAATTACAAAGCTGGTATTTGCATATTTTTTTATATTATAAAAATATATGTAATTAATCCATCAATGAATAATGAGTTGAAAATATTGTTATATATTATCCAGAGTGGTTATTAGAACTCAATTGAAGTGCATGAAATTTATTAGTATTTTCTGATTCTTTGTATCCCATTTTGTTTTCATCACATAGATCAATTTAATTGATTTCCTCAAGTATAGTTTTAATTTTTTTATGAATAATAAACCTTACTTTGGTTCTTCATTTATAATAATAATAATAACACTTTTTTAATTCTGGGACAATCCCTTTAGAATAATATAAAGAGACAGAAATGTGGGCTTCGAAACCTCAGAGAATTATCCCAAAAAAATAAAATGAATATACATAATAAATAAAAAAAGTATAAGTCTTCTTCTAACTCTCCCCAATAAAAAAAAATTAAAAAAAAAAGAAAGAAATAAAAGTGAAATAAATACATTTACAATGACCTTAGAATTTAAATACATATTTTTATTTTTTTTTCTGTTGGATTTTAGCAGTGCATTTTAGGCTAAAATATGTCATTTTATATGCAAATATGATTGTAAATATCCGGCTACTTTCGATATTCTTTGGGATTCCTTCTAAGCTAAGCTCTAAGTGATCTTGAATTCATCTGTCATTTTAGAGTAGTGATTCAGAATTAGTACCTTCGGACTTTATTATTTCAAACAGGCTGACTATTTTAGAATAGGTAATGATTTGTATGTGTAAAATTAAGAAAGCTGAAAATATTGACCACTAATTTATCTTACTTCCTAATTGACTATACTATTCAACAACAACAATGTACTAGAGCAGGAATCTCCAAACTAAGGACCACACACCTTCAATCTAGCCCGCAAAAGTTTCTATGGTTACCTGGAAAATTTTTAAATTCTATTTAAAATATAAAATTAAGCAAATTACTTACACACGCACGAGGTTACTATAACATTTATTACATGTTTTTTTTCTCTTAGCTCATTTTACAGCTCATCAAGTGTCATTTGTAGAACAAGATTTTTTTTTTGATCATTAGGTATGGGAAACCCGTGTACTAGATTAAGAATATGATGCCATATGAAAATAATTAACTAAAAATTAATAAATTAAACTTTCATTTGATGAAAATTTTAAAACCTAATACTTGAACAGTTTAATACTTAATAATAGTGTAATGGTCATAATCTCTAATTTATTTTTTATAGGCTTGTTGATAGTTTTTTAATTTAAGAACAAGTGTGTTAATATAAGTGTAGCTTATGAGTTTAAATTATTTAGATCTGCTCACAGCAGTACCAATTGGTCACTTGAACTTTTTGCTTTTTAACATTAAATTTCAATAACTTTTCCAGTTTGTGGAGGATTGTGGTCATCACCTTCTGGTATAATACAGTCACCATATTATCCATTCCACTATCCAGAAGACAGGTCCTGTACTTACACCATACAACAACGGATGGGATATTCTATCAAATTGAACTTCATTGACTTTGATTTAGAAGATGCAGATCAATGCATATATGATTATGTGGCGGTAATAAACAATTAATATTTATTTAGTTTAATGATGTGGTTTTATTTTAATATCAAGAATCCATACCTTTTTTCTATTTCAGTGTAAGTACTTATCTTTTCGACCTGCATGATTTTAGTTTCGATGTATCTACCTACTTATGTATTAAACATTTCTACACAATATCATTGAAGTTCTTTCATTCTGAAGACTGCCAGATTTAGTTCTTTAGGTTTTTGAAAATCGGGTAAGGGATGCTGCAAAACTGGTACTTCAGGGTGCCGAAAACTGGCACATAAGGATATTTCTCTGTTATACTATAAAAAAAATTATGAAATATACTGTTTCACATACATATTTTGAAATTAGATATCTTTAATGACTTAACAGAACCGAAATTATTGAATCAAGTATTCACACGGTTGAAAATGAGTCGTAAATTTTAAAGTTTCCTTAAGAGTGTTGAAAACTGGACGCTTTACCCTGCTATTAAGTTTTTTTGTTTTTTTAAAATTAAAATAAGTTGTACTAATATGGATTGCAATTTGTTACTGATTACCATTTGCTTTGCTTTTTTAAATAGTTTATTTTAATTATTATTCCAAGGTTAGAAATCTTGTTAGTATTTATAAATGAGAAGAAAGAGAAGTATGATTGAGTTAAAAATTATCAATTTTCTCTTGCTCAATATTATTATTTTTTATTAGAGAATAAGGAGAGTAGCATTACATGTTGTTTAGAAATGATTTTTTATTTATCTGTTTTATTTCATTTTTAACGTATCAGGTTGTTTGTACCAAAAGTAGCTCACATTTTATTGTGCTACCAGGGGGAGCATAACACAAAAAGTTTTGATTGTTAAGTAACTAGAAAAAAATTACCATTACAATAATAATAATAAAAATTTACTTAAATTTATTGAAAAAATGATTTTTGATAACAATTATAGTTAATAACATATTATAAATATAACTTTAATTCAATTACATAAACATAATAATTCAATATTATAAATATAATAAAAATAATAGGTTTATGAGATTCCCTCTGAAAGTTGAAAAAAATGTAGACCGATATTATATTAAAGATAATTATTTATTTTTAGATTTATGATGGTAATAATGAAGCTTCTCCTCTGATTGGAAAGTTTTGTGGATCTAATAAACCAGGGCTGATTGTTTCCAAGCACAATTTCTTACACTTAGTTTTTACTACTGATTCTGCATATGGTGGAAGAGGATTCAAAGCTAACTATACAACAGTAGACATTAGTGAGTTATCTATTATTTGTATATAGTTTAAATTTCTAACTTTTTAAAAATAGTTCATGAATCTTGGTCCATTACGGAAACATACCAAAGAAATGATCAATATATTTCAGTAATGAATCTTTGCAGTAAATTGGTGCAATAACAGTTGACAGTGTAGTGATATTTTATTATATAGTTTTATTTTTTGCATGTTCAAAGGTTGTGGAGGGATTTTAACAGACAAAACTGGTACTGTATCTTCTCCTAAATATCCTGAACAATATCCAATGAACCATACTTGTACTTGGCTTATATCTACTCCTCCTGGTACAATAATCCAGTTGACATGGCTGTCATTCAACTTGGAGAAGTCATTCAACTGCAACAGGGATTGGGTTGCAATATATGATAAGAACCCTAATCGAGTTACTTCTGGTCAACTTGGTGATAAGTAAGTCGTATTTAACTTTATTAAGTTATTATGTTGTAATAGTTTAAATACTTATGCCAATATATATATTTCTGTTTTATAGATATTGTGGAAACACATTACCACCAGCGATGACCTCATCATCAAATTTAATGAGTATTATATTACATACTGACACAACTGTTTCGGCACCAGGATTCAGTGCTTCCTATTTAGCTGTCGATTCTAAAGAAAGTTAGTTATTACTTTATTAACAAATATAATTCATTTGACTCATGAGGTGTGTAACTTCAACCAAAAACAAAATAAGAATTTTTATTTTTAATAGCAATTATTTTATTACATCTGTTTTAAAAGATGAAAACTTCAACTTTTAAAATATATTCAAACTAGGCTGCTCTAATATATGTACAGATGACTGACTGATAATGGACATATACAGTGCTGTATTGGAAAATATGAAATATCAGACTGTTCCATCAATGACGGTTTAAATCTATTTATTTTGGTTTTAAAGAACTCTCTATCATCGTATTAAAAAATATTACCTATATTGAGTAAATTCAATACCAGAATATTTGGTGAATTTGTTTTTACAAAGCTGTAATTTAAAATTTGGCTAGAACCAGTGAAAACGGTTGTGATGTATATTTAATTTTATTTCTTATGCATTAATACATCTTGATTTACTTGATAATGAATTATTTGATCTATGAATAAATTTATATTTTAACATTTTTCATAAATATAAATTAAATTTTAGAGTAATAATTAGTTATAATACTAAGAAAATAATTAAGTGTTGTGATTTTTATATTTTATTATATAGATATAAATGTTTCAATTAAAATAAAGTCCATTATGAGTTTATCTTTGAACTTATTTTATGTTTCAATAACTTTCTTATAAACAAATATTGTTTAAATGAAATTTCTGTTTTCAGTGTGTGGTGGAAACTATTTAACAGAAGAGGGAGAAATTCATAGTCCTAACTATCCTAACTTATACCGAAATAAGTTGGATTGCCGTTGGACTATTACAGTTCCGAATGGTCAGCAAATAGAGCTTATATCTGAAGCATTCAATTTGGAACCAAGCAGTTTATCCGGAAAATGTAGAAATGATTATCTAGAAATAAGGTACAGCCTTTCAACAGTTTCCTAAAAAATTAAATTCATTCATGAATTCATAATATTATTAGTTTTTGTCCATAATTTAATGAAGCACATTTATCATCAATAGGTATTCAATTAGCTAGACTAAATTGTTTGTAAAATATTCTGAATGTTGAAGAAAAAAAAACTAATCTTCCGAGTTATACTTCTTATTAATCTGGTTTCCCTATCCAGCACCAAATAGAGAAAAATGCAAGTATCGCTTTGTCAGTTACTGAAGGCCGAAATGTGGTATAGTAGGGGAACAGGTATATAATGGAAGTGGAGATAGCCTTTAAAAACTAGTGAAAATATATATATTTTTTATTTTGTTAGATTAGTGCTCTTATGCATTCTAGCTCGGCCATTGATAGCTTCATTAATAAAAATACCTGCTATACCTAAATAACTGTATCTTATATTTAATTTTCAATTTCTTTTTATTTTTGTTAAATAAAAATAAAATAATGTTCAATGTTGATCAAATGAAATCTTTTCAGCCTTAGAGGCAAGGTCTATAAACTTCACTCATTAGAGAAGGTTTGAATAAAAATTATAAAAGTGTAAGTTGTTCTAAGTAAAATGAATCTTTTCTAAAAAGAGCCTTTTCTGATGATTCCAAAAGATGTAAACAGATTTTTAATTTATGGAGATAACAGCAGATTATAATCAAGTAGAATAATTACCCATATGATTGAAGTTCTTTAATTGATTGGCTGAAATTAATTATTTTAATAGGTTTTTTATTTTTTTTTTATTTATCTAACCAGTGGCGAGCGCCCCTGAAGATGGTGAACGTCTCCCCCATGGGGCGGGCAATTGCCCTAGTTGCCCCATCCTAATGCCGGCACTGACCTTCATAGCTATTGGCAGTTTCAATAGTTGAACATTTCAGGTTCTTTACCAACAATCTCAACAAATTAAAAAATAAAAACTATTACATAATGATTTTTTACTCCCACATAGTTATATATCTAAGGTGTGTTCCCTCACATTAATTTCCCAACCACTTTTAAAGGAAATGTTAGTACTCTATATATTATTTCTAAAAGGTATTTTTTTTGTCGGTATACCATAACTTCGTCAATTCTTCATCAAATCCAATGATTGACCACTCATTTTGAAGATATTCTTCTCCTTCACATGCGAAAAATAGTCCCATCGCTCCGAAATTTCTGTAAAAAAAGTTATGGAGGAAAAGAAACTTTATTTGTGAATAACTCAAAAAGTATGCATTTTTTCTTTATTGTATCCATGATAATTAGAAAGATTACTAAATTACCTACATCACAAAAAAAAAAATCATAAAAATCAGACAATTATTAACAAAGATACAGTCCCTTAGTTTTGGTATACTTAATAATGTCTTCCTGTTTAAAGATATTGCATTTAGGAGTAGAATAGTCTACTACACTTTTTTTCCTGGCTTATATATTAATTTTATTATTTCTTAAAGACATTTGGTTGTTCTTACATTTTATTTTTTTTAATAATTTAGAAAATCCTATGATCGGGGAATTATTTTCCCTTTATTACTTTTATTATCTTTCCAGTCAATGTTTAAAAATAGGTCCTAGCAAAGCAATTTGTACAAATATTTTGGTCTATTATGTTTAATGGAATATTGTAATCGACCAAGGAAAAAATATTAATTCCTTCCTTACATAATACATACGAACTACTTATTTCCATATTGTTTTGCTATTTTTTCAGTAAACAAAATTTTCTGCAAATTATTCGTACGGACCAACTAGTTATATTTAATTATGTTAGTATTATATATTATAGATAAGAATTGAATGTAAGGAAATATAGTCGATTTGGTTAATTTGCAAATGACTATCTCGAATGTCACAGATGTTCAGTTTTTGAATTATCAAAAAAATATATCAATCTTCTTTAGAGACATGTACAAAAAATTGAAAACTCCACATGTTGACAATAAATACTTTTTCTTTGTTTCTCACAAAGTTCATCATCTTTCAAATAACACATAATCAATCAAAACATGTAGTTCGTAAAATTTGGTCCAATAATCTTGGAAGAAAGCTGGCTTTTTTTTAATCAATCTTTGAATTTTATATATATTTTTCATTGATTACAAAGATTCATTATTGAAAACAAAAACCTAGTGCAGTCCGTGCATCACAAAACTTTCATTTCCACTCTTTTTTTTATTAAAAATGTGTAAAATCGATAATATAAAGTGTCACTTCCAGTTAACCAATTTTAATGAAAAAGTTGCTGTCACATCCCAGGCATAACCTATCTTAAATACATAATATTAGTTTTGTATGACTTTTTATTTTTGAGCTAGGCTGCTCACACACAAAGACCATTTTGGAGGACTTGGTTATTTGGACTCAAGGGACCTCAAAACTTGTATTTTCATTGAAAACTTATATTTGAAGATTTTCACGATCGCAATACTTTCTCTTACTATATATTACATATATAGGTAAGTGAAAGTAATAAATCAATAAAATAAGTAAACTCTCTGAGCTTGCAACACTAATTTTGTTCAAATGTAACCATATGAATGGTATAAGACTTATAAATGATCCAAGTAGGTCCTAAAGTAAGCAAAGCTGATATTTTTACTGATGTCAAATTGTTATTGCAATTGAAGATTAGATGATAGGTTAATAAATTTGGAGATTGGCAAAATAATCCAGAAGGTTATTTAAAGTAAGATTTGCAGAGCTTATTAAGCTTTTTATAATTAACAGAACAGATCAATAGAGGCTGCTGATTTATAAAAACAAAAAAAATATAATCCGCAAACCATTTATATATTGATGCCTTTATTGTATATATTATTCTATTTAAATTATTTACTGTATCTGTTTCAGAAATGGTGGCTATGAAAATTCACCTTTAATTAATCGCTACTGTGGTTCTAAAGTAGATAAGAATATTAAATCTTTGTCTAATCAATTGTTTTTGAGATTTGTGAGTGATGCTAGTGTTTCTGCTGAAGGCTTCAAATTTACTTGGAATGGTGCCATCATGGGTAAATGCTTTCTGTTCATTATTATGCTCATTAATTTCTATGGTAAAACAAAGACAAAATAAAACCTGATATCAAATGTGCTTGGTATTTAAAATCCTTTTATCATCAGTCACTACTTTATTTCTTAGTTGTTTTTTTTTTTTTTAATACATCCAATTGTTCATGCATATTTTTTGTTTGTTCCGATTGTTAAATTTTGTTGCAAGTATTAAATTATGAATTTGTTTTCCAATTATTGAAATTTCATTTCTTTTATTGAAATTTTGTTCTATCGAAATTATGAAATGTTATTGTGATTTCATGTCAGCACATAGCTTGCGTGATAGGCTAAACTTGGTTTTGTTGCATAAATCATTTTTTATTGCTATCTCGAAAATTTGTAGTCATGTTTCTCGGATTACTCATTCAGTAAACCTAATAAAAAAAATCTTTGTTTTATTATGGGAATGGGTCGGCCAAGTCGGCTAAGCTGCTTGTAATAATTAATTAAAGTTAAGCAATTCAAGTGTATTAACTATTTGGGTGGGTAAACGTCCACTTGTGAAATTCATGCAAACTGAGATTTCCTTCTACCTTAAGTATAAAAGGCCTGTCATCTTACTGGACTGTCAATCTTAAAGTGGTTTTTCAGGATATCAGTAGTCACCCAGAGATTAAGTCCCTGGACGGTTTGTATCAGAAAAATAAAAATTGTGTGCCTTGTGCGCTAACTGAGCATCCATAACCCTTGCATCTAAAACAGTTTTTTCCATCTAAAACAGTCCTGGATCAATATATTTCTACATGAAAAACTCATCAGCCTTTGGGCGCACTGTATTATCACCCTAAACTTGAGTAAAGTTATGGAATGGATAGTGGTCTATTTAATAGGCCATGTTTTTTAACCTTTTATTATGATATTTACAACTGTATTAGTATGAATACATCTAGTAAATTTGTACAGAGAATTATTATTACATGAAACACGCTTGTTGAGAAACTACCCACTGGTAGCACTCTAATTAGGCCATGTTAAATCTAATTTAAACAAAGTAAGTAGCATTGGGGTTGTTGCATTGAAAATCAATAGATTTATTTTAAGGTGATACCATGCAAACATGGACCAAGGGACCTTTCACACCAAAGATGAAAGATGCAAAATGCATTCATCCTGGATGCAGGATGCATTCACGTCTTGTATCTTGATGAAAGGACTTTCACATCAAAGATGCACATGCACCTTCTGTTTATATCCATTATCTCTGTTTAGTTTAGTACATGAGTTTGAAATATGAATATACGCCTACTCTTCAGGCAAAAAAATTATAATTCTGACATGTGCAGTCAGAAGAAAACAAAGACAAAGAAGGAATGGTTTATGTCATCATCCGTACTAGGATAATGCTGCAGAGCATAGCCCTGCTATTGTGCCTCAGCAATTACTTATAAAATTGGAGATTTTGACTTTTAACAAGTTGTTGGATCTCATGGAACCGTACTTTGAACACGCCTTATTGAAGTCTGAAAAGAAACTGGACCAGGCAAGCATGAGTGTCCGGTGAGTCAGGGGTGGGTGGAAGGGGCGAGTATGTAAGTCTAGCACAACAAAGATGCACGCTGAAATCTCCAGCCGGCTGGTTCTCAAAAGGCAAATGCGTCTTGCATTTTCGGTGTGAAACCTCTTATTCGACGACATAAACCAGTAAAAATACTTACTGTATTGTAATAATCCAGGATTCATGCATGTTGCATCTTGTGTCTTTGGTGTGAAAGGGACCTAAAAGAAAAAAGTTGATTTTTTTCTGTTTGGAATGTTTTGGGTAATATACTGACAAAATCCTTCTGTGTTATTTAAATTCTTTTCTGAAAAAAAAAAAGGAAAAATTATATTAACCAAAAAATTATCTAAAATATCCAGTACAACATTAAATTTCATTCCATTGGATACAAAAAAAAATAAAGAGTCATCTTGGATGCTTTTGGACATAGATATGTTTTGACAAATTTCGTTAGCGAAAAATATACTTATTAGGAGTAAAAATAAAAAAAAAAGATTATTAATTTTGTAATCATGATCTTATAAGAGCAATACAATGTGCTGAATAATACTTCTAGAAGTGATATATGATAAATTATTATTCTTACTTCTTAAAATTAGGGTAGAGTTCCTTGCACTATTTAAACATCTTTTCTAAACAACGCTCTTGGATTATTAGAGGTCTTATTTTGAAACATGTCTTTTTGGGACCAGTGACTTCTCAAATGATAATGTGCAGACCATTTAATTATTTTGATATGAGTTTTGTCCACATAAATCATTACTGTACTTATTTAATTCATTACTTTGCATTAGACCAATTAAACATTACTGATGATCTATAAAGTCTTATAATCCTTAAATGATCATATATAGCAATGCTTTTAATAATATGTAGGTTGACAACAAATATTTGAATTTTATTCAGGTTGTGGTGGTGTATTGACATCACCATCTGGTTCTATAATCTCGCCTAACTATCCTCAACCATATGGTAAAAATGGAGAATGCACTTATAAGATTGCAGTATCCCAAGGATCAATGATACAGCTGTTTATTGTTGATATTGATCTAGAGGAACATAGTACCTGTGCTCTTGATTTTGTTGAGGTAATGGCTATACATTTTTTATTTATTTTTTACAGTTCTTCAACAACATTAAGTAGAGAAAATATAACAATAATGAGAAGAAGTTACAAGAATTTTCTTATTGATATTGGAGTACATTGCCCTCAGTCCAGAGTTATGTAGTACTCTTAATGTATTAAAATAAAATCATCTGGAATAGATGATAGATAGGTAGCACTCTAAATTCCATCGTAATGGAACATTGGACACTCATAATTGTTTGTTTTATTATTTAGTTAACTATATTGTTTTTGGTGGTTGTTAGTTTACTTCAGAATGAGAAATTATATTAAAACAATCATTTTTTTTAATACATCATGTATGAACTTTCAGTTTTTTCTCGGAATCAAAGTCAGCAAAAATAAAATTATCTGAAACTGTATACTATTCATACTAGTGATATATTACTTATAGTTTAGTCAATTTAAATGACTTTAATTAATTCAAAAAAAGTTATATCTACAAATAGTTCATCACATAAATAATAAATAACTACTTCATTGACAGAGCACCATTAGATGTAATACTGATATGTACATATGAGCTTATCTATCAGGAATTAAACAGATAAAAGTAGTAAGAACTTCTTAGAAAAATCAAAAATAAAAGTTTATTTCTATTTGTTTCCTTTTTTCTTAAATTAAATTTTGTGGCAATATATTTTTAATTGGATTGATACCTAAGGATATCGATGTTTCCTGAATATATTTATTTAAAAATTTGTATGTGATAAAATAAATTTAACCTTTCCTTGCTAAGTTAAGTTCTTCTTTTCAGATTTATGATGGTGCTAATAAAAGGGCACCAAAAATAGCCAAAATTTGTTCTCAAAATCACCCTCCGTCTTTTACCTCAAAAGGCAACTTTTTGTTTATTTTTTTTAGATCAGATACAAGTAGACAAGGAAGAGGATTCCATTTAAAATATACAACAGGTATAATTTTTAAATTCACCTTTTTATCATCAAAATTTGTTTAGCAATTTTAAAGTATAAAATTAGAATAGGATTTATTAATATTATTTTTACAAAATAGATGGTTTAGATTATTTAATTACCAGGTTGGAAAATATGAAATGTCTGTTCGTAGGCCATGAGGCAAATCACTGAAAATAGAACCTTTAATGATATTATATTTATTTAATATATTTAAAAATTTCAAGTTTTATTAAATAAAATGTTTGCTTGTTAAAGAACATTTTTGGGTTTGAATTAATAAATGTGAAAAATGAAGGTTTCATCTGAAAAAATGAGAGGCAGTTGGAGAATATTTTAGATAAATTGTGTAGATATGATAGAAATTCAATTTTCAATTAACATATTTTTTTAAATTGGAACTAACAAACCATTGCATTGGCATTATTGTGAAGAAGTTTAGATCCTTTCCTGTTGATAAGGGCTAGAAATTTTTCTTTCATTTTTTAATGAAATTTGTGCTTCTACTATTGGCTTTAGTTCAATAAGCTTAGTTTCTGGTCTTCCATGAGATTTATTCTCAAGACTTTTATTGCACCAAGATAATGTTCTGAAATGCCTTAACTTGACGGACATGAGAAACTTCAGAATTGGTGTATAATAAAATACTGTTGAATAACTTACTACGCAACATTTCATCAATTCAAACATCATCAGTGCAGAAAAAAACAAGATGAAATACATGTAGACTGTTGTGAAGAAAGGTGAAAATTGAACTGCTCGCAGCCTATTGCATGATAATTTTAATTGCACCACTGAACCTCATTAGATTTGCTTACCTAACAGACAATGCAATCAAATTTTTTTTTTTTTATAGCAATGTTAGAGGAAAAATCATAAAAAAAAATTATAAACATATTGAGTAAAAATAAGTTATTTCTTGATTACCTCATAAGCAATTTTTCTGCTGACTGATTTAGTTCATTTCTCTGATTTGTTATCTAGAAATAATTGGTTAAATCTTTTGATGTTCAACAACCTAGTTCAATAGATTTTAACTTGTTGAGGTAAATTTAATGGCGTAAAACTACCTCGGTCATCAATTCTATTTTTCTCTAAACCTTTCCTGTAGTGTAGGTTCAGTACTGTTACTGTTCTAGCATGGGTGCATAATGGACTCTTACGTTATTAACCTCAAACTCTCATAAAAGTTCTCTTCTTAATTATTTTCTCTATTTGCTGGAATAAGTTTGAGCAATAAGTAGTATTTTCCTTCTTCTCTGTAACTTAGTATCGGATAATTACTTATCTTGATTATATGTAATATTTTAATTTTGTTCTATTTTGTTATTCTCAAGGGACTGTGTCCCAGAATAAAGTTATTTTTCTATCTATCTATCTTATCTTTGTTTCCTTTTCACTGATTTTCAGTTTAAACAGGTTTCTTGAGTACACTTTCAGAAACCATTACCTTCATTGACAACTTTAATTATACTGTCAGTTTATTTTATCAATTGATTTTTTGTTATTTTCAGGAATATTCTTTTATTAATAGAAAGGATTTGTTATGATTTTATTTTATTTATATTTGTAGTTTGCAATGTTACAACTAAAGGTTTTAGTGGAAGTATTGAATCTCCTGGTTTTCCTAACAGAGATGTCTTACCAAGGGATTGTTTCTGGAAAATTAATGCACCACTTGGTAACAAGATCAATATTTCATTTTCACACTATGAAATTGGAGAACCGGAAACACCTTGTGACATTGCTTATTTGAAGGTATTTATAATACGGATTTAAAATGATTACCTGTTCATTAAACTATTATTTTTGTTATGGTACTATTGTTAGAAATTATCTATTTAATTGTATGAATTTTTTATATAACTAAAGATTTAACTTTAGTTCTCTCCGCAGTTATTGTGGTGCTATTTTTTTATGCACAAAATAATTATTAATTCATTAACTTTATTGTACCTATTTTAGTAAAGGTTGAGTTATAAAACATACTGTAAATATAAAATAAGTCTATTTAAAAATAATAAAGAGGTATAAGAAAAATATTGTAATGAAACTCATTTTATGTAAGAAGTGCCAGTGGATGGCTGCTGGCTTTGTCCACTGTCAGTTCTCTTTATACACTGATTAGAATTAGTTTCATTTATTTCAAAATTCCACTGCGAGATGGTTTTTTGTCATCAAGGGCTCTAATGAGTCAGGAGAGCCAAAGAATTGAATGAGTTTAGATTTGGCCTAATTAGCTACATAAGTTGCGATTTTTTTTCATAAGAATTTTATGAAAAGATTTATACTAAATGTGATACAAATCAAGGTTCTGTACAATAAATAGTAAGTTTTGTTTTAAATAATTTGTAAATAAAGTATTTAGTTATTTTTTTTTAAATTATAAATATCAGTTTTGAATTTCTTTCTGAATTACTAGTTATTTTTGTATTTGAAAATGGAATGACACATGCATGATATAACATCTAACTTATCATTTTGGTTTAAGATTATCGAGTGTTAAATAGATCATAATGATTTTTCTTTCTCTTTTAATCCAGGTATATGAAAGCTCATCAGCCAGTTTAGAACCTAATCATTTGATGGGGCAATATTGTAATACAAGTGTCATACCTTCTCGTTTAGCAAGTTCCACTGATGTTGTATATGTTTATTTTAAATCAACACCTAGGAACAGTTACGGAGCCTTATTTAGATTTGAATGGGTTGTTTCGGGTAAATGTTATGTTTTATGTTTTTATCTATATAATTATTTTTTTTTTATTATTCTTGTTCAAAAAACTTCTTTTATGTAATACTGCGTTTTCTATTTGTAGTATTAATTTAATTTTATTTTCTTAATAGTATTTCTTAATTGTGAAAAGGTTTTCTTAATCCCCATGTATTGTGAATAATTCATTAATATCATCTTTTAGGTTGTGGAGGTGTTTTTAAAAGAAACAGTAAAGGTGAAATATCATCGCCAGGTTATCCAAACGGCTACCCTTTTGAAGTAGTCTGTGAGTGGTATCTGTCTGTACCCCTGGGAAATAGTATTTCAATTGTGGTTGATTTTTTGGATATTGAAAATACAAACACCTGTGGATTTGATGCTCTTGAAGTATGTTTACATATAAACCAGTTTATATTAAGATCATTTTAATTATTTCTTTTGACTATCAACAATACATTTATTATTTTTTATTAGAAAGGAAAAAAAATTATATTGTTGTATACTTTCGTATTTTGATCTATGACACGTGGATATCACGTGGCATATCAACACCTTGGGAGGGTATTAATTTATTCAGTAACAGAATAGTTTGGACCACTGTTTCCTCAAAATTTCCCTTTTTAACTGATTTCCTTCGAGTCGCTGTTTGCTTACTGTAATTACTATACAAACGTGGTGTAAATAATTTTTCCTTTGTACAGGGGTCTTGGTAATTTACACTCATAAGTTAATCTTGATTTGTCAACAAAACCCCTTCTCTAGATAAACTTTTAAGGATATTTACTGCCGTTAGGAATTCGGGAACCTAATTCTTTTGTGACATTAAGTGGCAAGGCATAATAAGTATATATGGAATATTGGAATGAGTAAATATACGTAAAATTAATTGACACCTGATTTGTCGATCTTCAGTTGTCTGATGTTGAGGCATTTAGGAAAACTAAATAAAAGAGTAGGGTACATCCATTTCTAAACAACAAATCTAATTTATTTTTACAAAATGTAAATATTGAATGATATAAAAGTCCTAAAATAGCTAGTAGGTTTGACCTTCCTCTTCTTAAGACTCCAGTAGAGTGGACCTCTCTCACGCAGTCACGACCTTTCTGCCTTACGTCCCAACCTCCAGTCCCTGTCCTTTGGTCTTCTCTCCCAGTGTCCCTCTCCACCTGCTGCCACCTGTGGGACACTGATCCTGGTTTCTTCATTTTTTTTGTTCTTTTGTAAATTGTTTGTCAATAGTTTATATATTTAACACTTCCACAAAAAAACTTGTCCACTGCACAATTGAGTCTAATTCATAGTGCACTCATTCCATCTCTATACATTTCTTATCATCCTCTCACTTGATGTCACTTTAAAGCAGATAGAGGCCATCTACTACAATGGGAGGTTTTTTTTATTCAGTGCTTAGTAGATATAAAACAGTAACTATAAAGTAAGCTATGGAAAGCGTTTTATTCCTTGTGAACTTTATAATGATCTGTAATCTTATAATTATTCTTATTTAATCTTATTATTACTCACTATTAATTTTTGAAATATTTTTGTTATTATTTTCTTACACTAATTAACAAACAAATTATCTCAAAGTGTTATTATAATCTGTGAATGCTTTTTTTAATAATTAAAAAGTCATATTTTCAGAGTTAAGTCATATATTGTCTGAGCAATAATTACAACACAGGATATTCAGCTTGACAGGATATCTTTTAAGTAAAACATACTTTGAGCTGGAATGTTAACTGATTACTTACTGATTTTCAATAATAATGTTGTAGATATATTTGAACCACAGAACACATTGAAACAGAAAAAATGTAGAGAAAGATTGTTGGAGGATAGAGGGGAGGGTGTGTTCATTTATGAGACAACACACAAATAAGGAATATTGTTTTGTTATCTGACGATGTTTTGATAATCTTCAAAATTTAACAAAAAGAAAAAATTTCGTATTGATTTTTATATTGTTTTACTTAGTCCTGATGAAGGCCATAATATTTAAGGAAACGTTGGTACACAATAAAGCAAGTCTTTATTCGCGCTTTATCTCAACTATGACTGCACTGCCCTCCCAACTTTCCCTAAAATGCAGTAATAATGCTGGTTAAAGCATTAGTAATATAAAATTAATTATGTTTATTTTTGTTTATAAACTTAGATCTATGGAGGTAGTGATGATACTGCTCCACAATTGGCAAAGCTTTGTAAAAAGCTGACTTCATCCGATAGTACTGTTATCTCAGTGTCAGGTAGTAATGCATTCATTCGTTTTAAATCAGATTCATCCATCAAAGGCAAAGGTTTTCATGCTACCTATAAGGAAGTCCTTGACGCACGTTAGTATTTTTTTCAATTATTAACTACTTACAATGTGAACAATTATTTATTTTTGTAGTAATCAATAACAAATAAACTTTTTTGAACATTTGTAGGCTGCGGTGGAAAATTTGTTGCCGATTCTGGACTCATCCATTCCCACAACTATCCACAGAATTATGATTCTCATGATGATTGCGTTTATTTAATTAAAGTTGATAACTACCACCGTTTGAACCTTACATTTACAGATTTTGATATAAATTCTATCGATGGAAATTGTTCTAATGGTTATGTTAAGGTAATCTTAATAATAATCAAGTTAGTAAAATTATTATGATTAGTGTTGTAAAATATATTGATTTACTTTTTTAAATAAAAATAATGATTATTTTTTATGTCCTATGGTCTTTTGAATCCAAAAAAATGTTTTAAAAACTATTTAATCATTTTCATTAAATTATCAAATCAAAGATACTAAAGAGCTGCATGCAGATATCAGGAAAGAAATAGCCTGTGGAAAGCAGAGATGGATAAGGCTATTTAAGGTAAAAAATATCTACAAGGTCTGTAGAGGCAACAAAAAAAAAAGAAGAAGAAGAAATTCCTAATCGTAACTGAGAAGAACTTCAGTGTTTTTATGGCATAAAAAATTCCACACAGAAATAATAATCTATACTGGATTTATGTATGGCCAACTATCTTGGCAACCCATATCAGAAATGTTTCCATCTTTATTTGACTGATAAGTCTACATATGGATTAAGGAAAACCAGTGTTTCTGTGTTACTGAGCTCGCAACTGAATATTTCTTGCTTATGATGAAAGTTTGAATTAATATTACCTGAATGAGTGTCCATTTGGTTTTCATTTAGTGTGTTTCTAAGAACTATATTGTCGAATATTAGATTTAAATATAAAATTTATAACTATTTTATATTAAGCTATATATAGTTTCCAATGCTCAGAAGAAATATTGAGGAAGTAATAATGTCCTTCAAATATTTACTGATTTGTTATTGTAAATACAGGAATCATTAATCATAGGATATTATTGTTTTAAAGTACATATCACTGTTGCTTTTCTTATTTAATGCAAAGTTATTTTTAGTATTTGGTATTTTATTATAGGTATTTGATGGTGATTCAGAAAGCTCTCCAATGTTGAGAAAACTTTGTGGTAATCAACTTCCAACCCCAATTTTTTCAACAACAAATACAATCTTCATAAGGCATAAATCAGATGGATTTGCAACTGCTAAAGGATTCTCTGCTCTTTATAATACTGTATGTAATTTATTTTATTTTACTATAAGTCGCAAGATTTGTTTAAGTTCTTTTGCTTCATCACAATATAGCCTTAAATTAAAAAAATTGATCTTTCATCACCTAAAAATTATAAAATAGAATAAATCATAAGATATATTTTTGTCTCATTACATATGATCTCCAAATTTAACTGATAAGTGAACATATAATTGTGAATTTTCACAATAGCTGTTAGGCAACAGATTTGATACATATATATATATATATATATATATATATATATATATATATATATATATATATATATATATGTATATATATATATATCAAATATATATATATATATATATATATATATATATACATAAATATACCTATATATGTGTATGTGTGTGTGTATTTATATTAATAGTCCTGTGAAAAAATATAAACTCGAGGAAAAAAACTATTTCAATTAGTTTTAGTCATTTATTTCCGAATCTGACAACAAAATATTACAATTCAATCATATTGCTAGGATTTACTACAATTGGGACAAAATAACAAAACTAATCTGTGAAAAAATATAAATCAAATTTTTTTCTGTCTCTTTAATGAGTAAATTCTTTTCAATAATGAAAAATAATAGCCATAAAAAAAAGCTAGCCATGTTTTTTTATCACCTTCAACAGTCTTTTGGGAACACTTCTTTCTAAATTAATTAAAATTCTCTATGGTATATTTTGTATTTGTATTTTGATAACTAACAGTATGAATTTTGCTGGAAATGAATGCAATTTGAGATTATTTTTTTTCATTAAAAGCAGCCTATACCATTACTTCACCACCCCAACGCAACCTTCATGACCAATTTTTTCTTCTTTACTAAGGTCAGGCCATTAGTAATTAAAACCATCTGGACCATCAATATTAATTGTTTTTTGTCACTAAAAATAACATGACCATTTTTTTGATATCTTGAATATGTCTTTCAACAAACTGCAGTCATCGCTGCAAATGATGTTTTTAGAGTTGTGGTTTTCTCATAAATCCCTGACAGCAGTTTTATTTGCCTCTGGGTCATTCCACCTCTTCTTAGGTCCATCCTTTACTGTTCAATTTCAGTGATTTGAGTTCCACGTAACATGACGTAAAAAAAAAAAGAATAATTCACATAAATTGATACAGTTTAATAAATGAAACAATATACTCTCTCTTTAACTGTTGGAAGAAAACTAAGGTGGTATTAATCCATTAATCACCTGAAAATTTAAACAAACATTGAGCTTATACTTATTCACAGTCGCACAAACAAGATTGTTTTACAAAATCTGATGTTCATAAATTATCAAACAGATCAATGGGCATTTAAAGCTTCTTACCAATCTAATAACATAAAAATAAGCCTACTAACATTTTTGTTCTATGGATTTACTTTTAAATTTTACTAATACTTTTAATTAGTTTTGATAAATAATTTTTATAAGTTAACTTTATATTTTTTTTACAGGACTGTATGTATATATATATCTTATTATTATTATCAGATATATATACACACACACAAGTAAAATATCAATGGTATAACATTTTATTTTTCCTTGCCTCCTATTTCTGGCATACAGAAGTATTTCATGGGTACTCCAACTATTGCTGCTCATATTTTTTAGGAAACTGGTTAACTTGACGACTAACTTTTGTTACATTTAAATTATATTAAAATGAAAATGTTAGGTTTAAATTTAACGTTTTTCATTTTTATGGCAAGGGAAGAAATACATACAATGATGAAGTTGTGATCTTATTTAGTGTTACAAGTGAATAAGGAGGCTAAATTAAATCAGCACTGTATTATTTAACCATTACATACAGATAAACTATATTGAACATTTAATAGTTGACCGTTGCATTATAAAAGAAGGAGATGGTCTGGCCGGCACCCCAGTAAACAGATGTTGCAAAATCTTTCCGAAAGGTTATGATGGATATTTATGGCGGTCATAAATAGGCTAAATAGTGGTAAAACTATTTAGCCACTTAGGCTTTCAATAAAATAGTTTTACCACTATTTAGCCTATTTATGACCGCCATAAATATCCATCAAAACCTTTCGGAAAGATTTTGCAACATCTGTTTACTGTTATTGCTAGTAATTAATAACTTTTGAATAATTATATTTTTTCACTTTTTATTTTCAGGTCTGTGGTGCCAATATAATCACAAACAGCTCTGGTACATTAATTTTTTCAGAATACAATACAACCCTAAATTGGTCTTACGATTCAGAATGTCAGTGGATAATCAAATCAACTAAATTAAGTAAGTTGATTTGACATTTAGGTATTTTATATGGTATGGGTATCAGAAGGGTGTCAACAAAAAGCTAAACTTAATAAGACTGTATTGTTCATATAAAACTAATTATGAAAAAATGATTGATAAAGGAAAAAAAAGATTGATTATTCAAAATAAACCAATAAAGTTCTTGTTGAAAATAATTGATTTTTCTCACCAATCTCTGGATCTTCAAGATTTTAATATCAATTTTCTGTAGCATATTCTCTATATATACAGGTCATAATGATTTTTTTTTCTGTTCTTTTTTTATCATGTGTTTTGGATTAGAATGCTAACTGAAACTGTAACCAATCCAAAGAAATATTTTTTAAAAACTTATATGAATATTTTAGCTAGACTATTTAATTTATTTTATACATTTCTTAAATATATTTCCATAAATTTTATTACTTTCAGATTCAAAGATAACTGTACAGTTTGTTTTAATTGAAGTAACCAATCCATTCTCAATTGAACCTAGAACTAACACATCTGGCATAAGTCCAGGAGTTAATATCTTTGCTGGTGATGGCATCGATGCACCATTTTATGGTCATTACTCAGAATCTCGAATTCCTCCAGCATTTACTGTACCATCTTCAGCTATTACAGTTGTTTATAAAGCTACTGATTCAACACAAGGGCGCTTCACTATGGATTATTCTGTTGAAGATACTAGTAATGTTATAAAGTTTATTTTATTAACATGTCTGAGTTTGCAATAATTTAAGTTTTGTTTATTAAACTATTATGAGGAAATAAGGTTTGATGATCAATACTTTTAAAAATCTAGTTGTTATTAATCATTATTAGTATAAGAATCATAATACTAACTGTGTGATAGTACTTAAATAAAGATTATAGACAATACTCAAATATTTAAAATTTGTTTTTATTGAAGGAAATTTCAATTACCTCTGGATTGAATTGTTCACTCTATTAAAACTTTCATCATTAAGTTCTTATTGATTAATTTTTCTATTTCTATATTAATTCATATAGTGCTTAGAATTGCAGTTCGTAAATTATAGTTGTAATTTTTTTTCCAAATCTTTTTCAGGCTGTGGAGGTTTTCTAATTGGTTTAAGTGGTGTTATCAGGTCACCAAACTATCCAGATCCATATCCTAATAATGTAGAATGTGTATGGACCCTTAATGCTGCACCTGGTAATTTATTTTGAAATAATAACAATATTTATAAATAATTATTATAATATGTTCCATTATGGTTCATTTTATTCATATTTATTTTTTAGGAAGCACCATGTTATTTGAATTCACTAAATTTGACTTACAAAAAAGTGATTCATGCAATGAAGATTACGTTGAGATTCATCAAAAGTCTGTCTCTGGTCCTTTAGTTGGTGTCTATTGCGGTAATAATCTACCAAAACGAATACAGTCAAACTCAACTCTTTGGGTGAAGTTTAGGTCAGGTCCTGATGGGATTGCGGGTGGTTTCAGTGCCAGTTATTCATTAGGTTAGTGGAACAATGACAATAGGTAAGCAGATACTATTTATATTATTATAAAGTTCTGTTAGTAACAATGCAATTGATTATATTCTTAAAATTTTCTCAGATTGTGTAGTCATTCTTTATAGCTTTCAGTTCAAAATTTAGTTCTCAAATAGCCTGTAAAAATAATTTCTGATAACTTAAAGTTTCTTTCATTGTAAAAGAAGATAAGCTTTTATATGAGAGTTGGTCGGGGGTGCCGTCAAATAAATATTAAATTTTTAAAGAATAGTATTTTTAATTGTATATTTTTAAGGAATAGAAAGTATATATTTTTAGTATATTTTTAACTTTTTAAAAAATTGTATTTTGAATTTAATTAAAAATACTATTTTTTTTTTAAATTTAGTATTTACTTGACCTCACCCCTGACCAACTCCTTCTCATATTATATCACGGTCAACCATCTCTACATCATAAGCTTTTATAAATGAGACAATTAGTTACAGAACTGGCTCAATCAATTTTCGAAACTTTAACCTAATGAATTTGAATTCATTATACTTGATTGAGATACTTTTGATCCATGTGGCTTTGTCAGGTAGTGAAGTTTCACAAAGAACCAGTAAAAAATAAAATAAAATTTTCTTTTAAAAAAAGTGAATTAAAACAGTTTTGAAATTAATGGCCTCAAATATTTGACAAACATTAGGTATGATGGACATTCACCTGTTTGTTTCAGGTTTGGAGAGTGAAATTGATGGACTTTCTGGCCAAATCGGATCACCTCAATACCCTCTCATATACTATTCTGATGTTTCATACAGTTGGAGAATCACTGTTATGCCAGGATATGTTATTAGAATAGCATTTCAAGACTTTTATATAGAAAATTATGGAGAAGATGCTGATGGCTGTTTTAATAAGTTGACGGTAATAATTTTTATATTTAACCCCTGGTCGATTTGTTTTATGTTTAATTTTAGAGGCCTTCATTTAGTCAAGGCCTTTATTTGCCATCAGAACATGAGATAACACTTTGTATTCCTTCTATTGTAAGTTTTTGGCTGATGTTCTCAGGACAATGATATGGCACAGGCAGAGCCCTCCTGTTAGATTCAGCTATGAAATACCTTTATCAATCATGAGAAAAGCTCTTAAGTAAATTCTCCCTTATTCTTTATCATTAGGCAAACAGTTGGGTATTGTGGGAACAATTATATTTCTGTTCTCATCAAATAATTTTTGAATCTTTGAATGTCAAAGGTGATACAGTTTTATTTATTCTATTACCCCGATTTATCATTCATTTGTTTATATTGTGCTCTGTTGTTTAAATAACAGTGATGCATATTTCAAGTTATTATAAATTAGTATAGTCTGCTGGTGAGTAAAGGGGGGGGAGAGGTGCATAGTGGCAAAAGGTCGTCTCGCCAATCCCTCACTCTTCTATCTACTTGACTTCCAGTTCAGTGTTACACCTTTATACGGTCAAGCGTACTTCCACAATTTTTTTTACACGTAGAAATTTCTCGTAATAGTTTTTTCAAAACTTTTTTTCATTATTATCATGTTAAGTAAACTAGAAAGAGGAAAAACTATTCACTCTCAGACCAAAAATGTAATTGTGGATGTATTTAAATTAACTCGACACACACTTCGAGGATATGTTGCAAAAAATAATGTGGAGCTTAAAATGAAAAAAAGTATCCAATTTGATGAACAAAAGGTGCAATATGATTGATGGTGATGATTGGAAAAAAGTCTGTGACCTGATTTGAAGTTGACAATTTAGTTATTTCTCGGCATGACTCAGATTCAGAATCTGAAAATGAAACTGATTATGATTTTGAATCAAATAAAGATAGACTATATCCTAATAAATGATAAAATGTATGAAACTAAGAGTAATTCTATTTAATGTAATAACAGGATCAGTGCCTGGGCAAGTCTGAATAACTTACAGCTAAACGCGATGAAAACTCAGGCCATTATTATAGGTTCCAATTCTATTCTTAAATCCATCTCCTTCCTTCCTCCTTTTGTCATCAATGATCATCCCATCACATTCAGCTCCTCCGTTAAAAATCTAGGAATCACGATTGACAAAAACCTCTTCTAACCCCATACCCTTAAGCTATTTCATCGCTCCCGCCACCTACTCCCACAACCCATCCGTAACCTCTTTGTATCCTCTCTTATTTTCTCCCACTTTAACTATGGCTGTGTGGTATGAAGACATCCCAACAGTACGCAAGGATAGATTGAAGCGACTCATGAATTCCTGCTTAAGATTTGTCTTCACTACTTCGAGGCGGTCTCATGTGTCCCACCTTTACGACGAGTTAAAGTGGCTATTCCCTTCTTTCCGCAGACAATATTTTCTTGGATCTTTCATATTCCAAACGATCAACACCCGACAGCCTTCCTACATCTAGTCTTCTACAGTTCGAACCCGATATCCACTCCCAGAAAACAAGATCCCGTATTTCCGATCTTTATATTCCTTCACATAGAACTAAGACATTTGAATATTCCTTTATTGCCCGATCCACTGCCTTCTGGAATCCCTTACCATCTCTTCCTTGTCCTCATTCAAATATCATCTCTACCAATTCCTTCTCACATCCCAAAATGACGTTGTACAATGAAATAAATATTGTGAAACAAATTTTGAATGAGGTGAATGTTTGTTAAAATTGTTTGAGTTTTAATTTTAAAAATCAACTCATGCTTATATTATTTTGTTTTTTATATTACCTGATTTCTGTTTTTCTTTTCATTTGAATAATGGTTTTTTTTTTCAAAATGGTGTTACTTTAGATTTGTTTTAATATACTTTCACTGAAGATACTGTATATATTCTTCAATGTTGATTAATGTAATTTTTGGCCAGATGTAGTTTTTATTTGTTTGTTCATAATTGTATTTCATAAGGGATCCCAGAATCGTCCCAGAATAAATTTTATTTTCGATCTATCTGTCTAACATCAAGTTCTGTGTACAGTACATCTTGCGAATTCACATGAATGAAGATGAAAGATTGGGCATCCCTAGCTTGCAGTCTGTTCGCTTGTAGCCTCCATTAGAATGACATCGAATCTTGTCTGTTTTTGTTTTAATACCACCTGATTCTGTACCAAAATTGAGATGGGAAAGGCTGCGCGAAGTCCCTTCTTCTACAGGCAAACTCATCTGAGATGCACTATTCCTTTTTCCAATATTTTTATGATAAAATTAGTATCATTCTGAATATATCTTAAATGTGAAATTATAAAATTGGATTTTTTGAGGAAAATATTTTATAAGTTTAACAAGTGGATAAGGTTGTTTATTTTAATTTTTTTTTTTTTAATCATAATGAATGTCTGCAATTATAATTAGTCAAAAAGGGGATACAATTAAATATATTTTTTTATTTCTTTACTAGGTTATATAAAATTGCAATTGGATAATCTTCAATCAAAGCAGAAGCTGATTCTTCCTTATGAAATGTTTAATCAGTTTTTTTTTTAAGAGAAATTTTATAAAATACAAGTTAATTAAGCAAACAGTGATTCCTAAAATTTAAAACAAAATAATATTCATTGATTCCAATTTAAATTTTTTTTATATATATATTTTGTATTTATTATATTTATATATTTATTATATATATATTTATTTATTTTTATATAATTGTTATTATTTCATTCAATGCTGCTGATACGAATGTGAAAGGAAACTTGTTTTTGTTTCAGATATTCAGTGGTTTTGACAGTACTGCTCCTGTATTTAAAGAGTTGTGTGGGCTATCCATACCTCCTCCATTTAGTTCTGAAACAAATGTTATTTATGTATCTCTAGGGAAAATATTAAGTTCTGGCACCAGATTTCTTCTAAATTGGATGCTGATGAAAAAAGAGCCTTCTTCTGTAACATCAGTTTTACCAGGTTCACAAATCAACTTTATTAAGAATGATCCATTCATAATTTCATATTTAATATTGATTAATAGTTATGGAATTGTATTTAAGTTGTTACTTTGTTTACCTTTAGAATTGTAAAATAGCAAGTCCTATTGTAATGAAATTTTACCCATACATGATCACCATGTATTAATCCATCCAAAAAAAATATATATAACTAAGTATTTTGCTAAAAAAGTATTGCTTCATTAGTTAAAAAATTTACTTATTCTATGAATTTTATCTGCTCATTAAGGTAGAAAGGTAGAAATATAAATTATTCATATTAAAAATGAATATTCTTATTCAAAAGACTAATACAATATAAACTAAATAAAACTATTTAATTTCTTAACAATTACTATTCCACATTATTGATACACTAATGAATAATTTTAAATATTTTTCAGAGGATGGATGTAAAACATTTGTGGAATTGGCCAGAGGAAAAAATGAAAGCTATACTTTTACCAGTCCTGGTTACCCAAGTGAATACAAAGATAACGTTAAATGTGAATGGATTTTTCAGGCTCCTATAGGTGATCATGTACGTCTCACATTCAGTAACATTCACTTAGAGGCTCACTCACATTGCTTATTAGATTCAATCGCAATATTTTATGGTGAGTTTAAATTTAAATTAATATTTATATTTTTTATTATACCATTTATCAATTTATATAAGCTAAAGAAGACCTTGTCATGAATTGACTTTTAAGTAAGTGAAAAGATCAATGGAGCATTTTTTTAAAGGGAGAATTCTGAAGGAAAAAATTTTGGATGAAAAGGGAAACTGGAAAGATTTCTTGCATAATTTTATTAATTTAACGAGAATGAATTCTGGTAGGTCTGTAGAAGTCGTTAGTTTAGTATATGATTTCATTATGACAGAAAAAGATTGGTGAGGCAAATGTAGGAAAGATAATTGTCGTTAAACGATATCTCAGGAGAAAAATAGACAAAGGATGGTACAGAAGAGATTGAAGAAGCTGATTTAAAATGTGAACTTAGATCATTAGATGAAACTACAAAGATTAGTGAGACAGGAGACTAGGAGATTCACAGAGGAAACTTTGCAAAGGATTAGCCATTTTGATTTGGGTTGGAACACTCCGATTGGTTTGTAGTCTGCGATTCTATTACATCTAAAGTGTCTACAGGCAACATGACACTTCCACCACAGATCCTAAATTTAACCACATAATCCCGACTGATCAAAAGTGCAGGCCATAGATAAAATGAGAGGTTTTCACCTTGGCCATCTAATCTAAGACCAGTGAGCTACAAGTTAATGCTTATACCAATGACCTGGTAGTTTTGGAGAAATATGGTAAGGGTCTTCAGTATAACATATTGAACTTAAGAGATGAGCTTACAAAAATAAACAGGCAATTACTACTTTACTGGAAAGTTTCTCCAACCAAGCTTTCAAGCTAATCCCAAAAGGTTTCCAAAATATATCAAAAAACATTTGTAAAATTTTACCTGTAAATAAATATTGTTATTATTATTCATTAGTTATTTCAATGCATTAATTCTATTACTCAATGTCTAGGAGATCTTGGTAATGATGAGGCATGGACTGAGATGGCAAGAATATGTAGTAGTAATGATACTTATAAAGTCTTTGAAGGAACAAGATTGGTGAAAGTAGTGTTTACTAGTGATTCATCATTTCATAAAACAGGCTTTAGTGGTAAAGCAGAAACTGGTAAGATATCTGTAAAATCATGGTAATTGTCTAAAAAAAGTCATAGTTTTTGGTATTATTCCACCACTTTAAACCTTTGACTATTGAACTTGAGGATTTCTTTAAAGAAATAAAATAAAAATATTTTATAGAAATTTAAATACAACAAAAATTGCATTATATTTTTAAAAATATACGTGTGTTTTATTGTATATTAAAAAAAAAAGTAGTATAGTGTGAAAAAGTCTTAGGAAATAACAACTTTTTATAAAAATAATAACTTTTTCTATTTAAAAGTGTTCATAATTGTAAACCGGTTTAACCTTGCAGACATTTTAGATGTAATATATATTTAAATTAGCATTATTTTCAGTTAACAACAAGCCAAGAGACCAATTCCTCGTGATGACCTTTCTTTGTCCTTTGAATAATACTACTTTATTGTTAATATCTTACTACTTTGTTATTTACTTCAGTCTTGGCTCTTTTATAAACTCTAGAAAGCTGACTATATCATTGAAAATTGTTCCAATATTAAAATTCTTTTTTTTTTTTTTTTTTTTTTAATAGTTCAAAATTTCTTTTTATTTTTTTTTCTATTTAATGTTACTTTTATTTTAGAAAATTGCAAAATTCCATATTTTTTATCATTATCTTGACGAATCATCTGAAACCCAGATGATATGTGAGGATGGTATTGTATTGTTTTGCATCCAGTTTTCCATCTCTTCACAAGACTTCTGTTTCCCTAGATCTAGGAACATGCCCCAAAACTATTAAGAAGCCACCTCTGTGTTTTACTGCTGTTTGCAAACATTCATCCGAAAATTCCCACTTCAGATATTCTCTAAGATACTGCCTCCTTCTAAAACCAAACATTCAAATTTTTACTCATCTCTCAATAAAAATATGTTCCATTCTTCTTGTGTCTAAGTTTCGTGTTCTTTGACAAAATTAAGTCGCTTTTGTTTGTTTAGAGATCGAAAAAATTATTTTCTTCTGTCAACACAATCTTTAAGGCTAAATAATATTACACGGTGGGCCAGACCCCCTTACCGTGCACTCCCCCCACATCCCTATAAATTGCATATCGTTGTGTTCCTTGTGACAATTTATTAAAAAAAAGCCAATGTTCCCACAAAAAAAAGTGAACGAACTGCCCCAAAATGGCGTCCAAACATGGCGGATTGACGACTTTGACTTTAGTTAGTTTTTTTGTTACTGAGAATCAGCAATTGGCTTAATTTCATTATAGTTGGTCTTTTATTAAAGTTAGATAGTCAGAGAATAATAAAACATGAAAAAATATAAAAAACTAATTGGCTTAGGCAATAAAAACAATCGGTAAAGTCAATATTTTTTACAAAAAAATTTTCAAGTTGAAAATCAAGCGTCGTTTGAAATTAAACGGTCAACAATAATGCAAAACGTGCTGAAATAAAACATCTGGAGAATACATTTCTCTTTCTAAAACACTGATTACTTTTTAAAATATTTGAAGTAGTTCCGTATAAAATGTACTTAAGCGGCAGAAAAGCGCTACTGGCGTGGGTGCCTACAGGCCTCTACCACACCACTCAGTACTCATAAATGGCTTAGTTATAGTGCTATAATAACGTTTTTGTTATATTTTATTGATTATATTAACGAACAAATATTAATACAATAATTTAATTGTAAAAAATTATTTTTTTTTAAATTTATTATTTTTGTTTTTATTTTCATTATTATTTTTTTTTAATTTAACTTCATTTATTCTATACGGAGATCGCTTAAGAAGGCCTCTATTATAAAAATTATAAAATTATAATAATAAAACTTAATTCAAAAATACTTTGCAGAATATCTTGATTTTTTTATTTAATATTTGCAATTTAACATTTTGTTTTATATATTTACTGATTCTTAGAGGTAATTTAAATTGTATATACTTCCCCGGAAATGAGTCATATTAATATCTGTTTTATAAACTAAAATAATATATACCTAATCTGAACTGCTTTTAATGAATAGGTGATGGATTGTTTAGTAAAATTGTTATATCGCTATTAAAAAAAACATTTTTATTTCCTTTATTTTATTCGAAAGTTGGACCATATCATAAAAAATAGGAACTTTTAATATTAAAGTGCATTATTCCCTCTGCACAAAAGAAATATGGAAAGGGCGAAGCTATAAGTTCTTCTATGTAACTGGAACTGATTGTTAGTATTTGGTCTCAAAATGAGGGAAAACGCGAAATTGAACCCAAAAATTGGAAAAATACATTAAGCGAACGACAAAGGAAGTGCAAAAATTTCGGAAAAGAAAACAAGGATCAGTATCTATTATATGGCTAAACGAATATATAGTAGACAGATGAACAGAATATTTCAAGATGCTGCTAAAAGAGGGTAAAAATGCTTGATGGGTTTGGATGATGTTAAGCAGGTTTATTATGGTGAAGAACACTTTATCAGCAAGAAAGATTTGCTCTAAGCAATTGGCAAGCAGGTCTGGAGGAAGTAAACGAGGTTGATAATGGTGTAAACCACTTTATTTTAGATTGCTATTGAGTTGTACATTGGGACTATCTTCACTTTGAAGCAGGTTATACAGAGGTCTATTGATAAAAGGAAATAGCTCTGCTCCTCTTTAGTGCAATTGCAAAAGATTTTTGAATGAATCTGAAAGGAAAACGAGCTTTTGTGAAAGACTAGTAGATATTCGATCAATCCAAAGTGTGAGGCACTAAGCAGATAGAGAACCATTTTTCTTTCTCTGTGGACTTCTCTATAACCTACCTTAAAGTGAAGACAGTCCCAATTTGCAACTTATGCTCCAATGTGCAACTTGAGTTTCTCAATCCATATCGCTCAGGCAATCGACAATATTTCTAATTTTAGCTTATACGATTCTTGAGTAGACTTTCTTTGGTACTATAAACAGTAAGGAATCTCGAATAACATTTCCTAGTATCTCATTTCCTGTAAAGGGACAAAACTACAGTCCTTTCATATCATTTTCTAATACATTTGTAGCCTTTGTACGCACAGCATTTCGGGTTACTTCGTCCAGACCAGCTGACTTGCCAATTGCCTAGAACAAATCTTTCTTGCTGATGAAATGGTCTTCACCATAATAAACCTGCTTAATATCATCCAAACTGATCAAGCATTTTTACCCCCATTTAGCAGAATCTTGAAATATTCTGTTCATTTGTCTACTATATATTCGTTTAGCCATATAATGGATACTGATCCTTGTTTTCTTTTCCGAAATTTTGGCACTGTCGTTCGCTTAATGTATTTTTCCAATGTTTGGGTTCAATTTCGCGTTTTCCCTCATTTTGAGACCAAATACTAACAATCAGTTCCAGTTACACAGAAGAACTTATAGCTTCGCCCTTTCCATATTTCTTTTGTGCAGAGGGAATAATGCACTTTAATATTAAAAGTTCCTATTTTTTATGATATGGTCCAACTTTCGAATAAAATAAAGGAAATAAAAGTGGTTTTTTTAATAGCGATATAACAATTTTACTAAACAATCCATCACCTATTCATTAAAAGCAGTTCAGATTAGGTATATATTATTTTAGTTTATAAAACAGATATTAATATGACTCATTTCCAGGGAAGTATATACAATTTAAATTACCTCTAAGAATCAGTAAATATATAAAACAAAATGTTAAATTGCAAATATTAAATAAAAAAATCAAGATATTCTGCAAAGTATTTTTGAATTAAGTTTTATTATTATAATTTTATAATTTTTATAATAGAGGCCTTCTTAAGCGATCTCCGTATAGAATAAATGAAGTTAAATTAAAAAAAAAAATAATGAAAAATAAAAACAAAAATAATAAATTTAAAAAAAAAATAATTTTTTACAATTAAATTATTGTATTAATATTTGTTCGTTAATATAATCAATAAAGTATAACAAAAACGTTATTATAGCACTATAACTAAGCCATTTATGAGTACTGAGTGGTGTGGTAGAGGCCTGTAGGCACCCACGCCAGTAGCGCTTTTCTGCCGCTTAAGTACATTTTATACGGAACTACTTCAAATATTTTAAAAAGTAATCAGTGTTTTAGAAAGAGAAATGTATTCTCCAGATGTTTTATTTCAGCACGTTTTGCATTATTGTTGACCGTTTAATTACAAACGACGCTTGATTTTCAACTCGAAAATTTTTTTGTAAAAAAAATTGACTTTACCGATTTTTTTTAATGCCTAAGCCAATTAGTTTTTAATATTTTTTCATGTTTTATTATTCTCTGACTATCCAGCTTTAATAAAAGACCAACTATAATGAAATTAAGCCAAATGCTGATTCTCAGTAACAAAAAAACTAACTAAAGTCAAAGTCGTCAATCCGCCATGTTTGGACGCCATTTTGGGGCAGTTCGTTCACTTTTTTTTGTGGGAACATTGGCTTTTTTTTAATAAATTGTCACAAGGAACACAACGATATGCAATTTATAGGGATGTGGGGGGGTGCACGGTAAGGGGGTCTGGCCCACAGACTATATGAGTTTCCTTCTGATCAAGGAGAACGACACTTGGGTCCTTGTAGTTGTCTGCTAAATATCTAGGAGATGTACAAACAATAATTTAAACGGGGATAATAATCAAGCAATTTATTGCTTTAAAACACCTAAAATAATTTTAAATGTTGTTCAGCAACATGACTATGTTTTTTAGATCTGTCTGAACGTTTCAACAGATGTTATTGCTGAAGGATACGGTGTCCAACTCTCATGCTGGAAACCGAAGTTCAAATCCTTATTCATAGAATATTTTTTAGGGCCACGGTGGTCGAAAGAGTTAAGGTGCCTGCAAAAATACACTTAACGTGTAGAGGCTTTTTGTTTGGGGGCTAACGTTTGGCCGATTGGGCTAACGTATGTGCACAGCACTGCCGTTGCACATCAACCTGATACATAAGATAACTCGATAAAAATAGTCACGAGTTCGCATCCCGGTGCCGGTGATATTTGAAATCCCCGCCATCTTCCCCTGGACCGGTAA